TACAGAGGAGCTTTTTAATTAATGAAAATACAGTTTTTATTAATTTATTAAAAATCTGTTTGTAAGTTAAAATTATTCAATTTAAACAAAATGCCAAAATCTAATTAACTATTATGCAAGTTAAAAATAGTTAGGTAATTGTGAAATTTAAATTAAAAATTAATACTAATATTACCATGTAAATACCTAAAACCATAGATAGCGAAAAGGTGTACGCGTTCAAGCACGCATTATAAATCATTGAAAAGGTAAAAATATTAAAATGATAATTTATAAATATATTGTATGTCAAATAAGCAATAATAACAAGAATAATTTTTATTTATGGCAATGATAGTAAACAATTAATGTTTAGGCGAAAGAATTGTATATTCGTGCATGATTGTATATTCTTCATGGATTTCGTTCAATGTCGATGAGGTTAAACAATTTTACGTTAATTTATCCAGATAAAGGCGAACTATTGTAATTATTTCGCTCGTAATATGTCCCACTTCAATTTTCATAACTATTCGTATCCTCTATCTTCGTGCATTTCGTTTCATACTCTGCTGTCTCTTTCCCGCTGAAAAATCTTCATAGACTCGGGGCTCGCCCGTTGCATTACGTCGTGCGAAGCTTTTAATCAAAGAAGGCGTCAGGCAGCTTCGCCTCGTTATTTCCTGTTCGGCTAAATGATCCGGTATTCGCATTTTCCGGCCCGCCGAGAGAACGCCCTACAAAGTCATAGTCCCAATAACAATAACAATAACAACAATAATAATAAGCATTACGATAATAATAACAACAACAACAACAACAACGGCAACAACAACAACAACAACAACGATAACGTAACGACAATAGCAACGATAACAATAATAATGCTAATAACAATAATAATAATAAGTGAATGGCGGGGGTGGAACGAAGAAGGACGTGGAGGGGTGACAAGTGAAGGGAGCCATCTTCACTCGCAAATGACAAAGTCGTAACGCCGCCTCTCCCTTTTATGAAATCACCGTAGGAGGAGTTTTCTGTCTGGCTACGCTCGAGGGGGATGATCTTGTGGATTTCGAGCTTTGCTCTCGAACCTACGCAAGCCCAGAGATGGCGCGCTATCAACTTGGCTGCGCTTCCTCGACGCTTCCTTCACGCTTTCTCCCCGTATAAGCCAACATAAGGAAGTGGGAATTTCGATTTGGTCATCGGTGTTCTAGTTCCCGACTCGAATGCAAAAACATTAATATTCTATAGATATATTTATACGCTATATACTACCGTCAAATCTCAAGCTATTGATTTAAAAATGGCGAAATAGTTAACTTGACTGCTCAAACGAGAGTGTCATAACAACGCTTATCTCGTAATTGAGTGAAACTATCGTTATTGCGACCCTTACTTTCCAATGTCTAAATCTTGAATTACCTCTCAAGATATCTTCTATAAGTGGCAAATACTGCCAAGACGTTAATAGTCATATTGAGAGAGAGAGAGAGAGAGAGAGAGAGAGAGAGAGAGCCTATATTTCTCTTTTTATAATTCGACAATATCTGTAACTTTTATAATCTTGTTATTTTTATTTGTAGAAGCATTTCATTCGACAGTGTTAGATTATAGTTGTTCAAGAATCTCTTAGAAATGTATATTTGAGTAAAAATCATCTTGGCAGTTTGACAAATTCTGAATAGGCAGCATCTTATTATAAAGAGATTTATCGGTATACTTTTGCACGAATGCTCGAGCAATGTGTGTCTTTATTATTTTTAAAATACTAAAATACGAAAAATATACCTAAAAGAATAATCTATCGCCGAAACGAATTATTACGAGCATATATATATATATATATATATATATTGTATAAAGCTCGTTGCAACTGAGAAAAAAGAAGAAAAAGAGAGAAAACGTTAAATAATCGTATCGACGAAGCGAAACATTAAAAGCTTCTTATTTTTTGCAATTTGAAAGCACGTTTTTACAGTAGAAAGGTTTTTAAGACGCAGCTTCCGAAAGATCCTAGGTCGGCGCTTTTTCGTAACTAATTTTGCAGGAAAAATCGAAACGGCATCGGATAATGCGCGCGCACGGAAGGAAAATAAATATGAAAGGGAGACGATCTCGCGCTCTAACGAGCAATTGTAAAGAGTCTTTGCCCGACGGCTATTCGACTCTGTGTCGATGTTTAAAAATATATACACATGTATAGAAATATCAGGCCACAACCTTTAATCCTCCTACAATCGATCGATCCAGCGTTAATGCCATTTACCGAAGCAGTGCCCGAAAAATCCGGACGTGGACTCGACGTAAAATGCTCGATACCTTTTCTCCCAATCGTTTTTCCATTGTAATTGCTTCTTGTGTACATGCCGAATTACAATACAGATAAAGGTCTTTCTTACTTAGTGCGAATATAATATACTGGTTGGCCACAAACCAAATTTAAACACATACGATTTAATGGAGGAAAATTGTTAATCGTCTCTTCATAACGATTAATTAATAAATAAATCTTTATTTGTCACAAAGTTATTTCAACAAATTGCCTTTCTACGCCATTCTACCAATTTTACCATTCATCGGGTACATACATCATACCCCGCATCAATCAATCATCAACACGTTGATATAACCGTAGCTAGTGTTCGTAATTGTATATGTATATGTCATAATTACGGAGAAGCGTTTTTTTTTTTTTAACGATCGTTGGCTGTTACGAACGACGTAGGCGCGCATGAAATTCATTCGCGCTATTCCCTGGATTATTCGCAGGTAAAACTCGTGAAAAATATCAAGCTGAAAATTTTTAATACCAAAGCCTCGGCGCCTATTACCGACACTTTCACACACATACACCCCAAGTCAACCAAATAATACTAATAAAACATTCGTCGGCCCATTATCCAACGAATTCATTTCAACTTAAAGTATTACCTCGATTATGGCCCGCATAATCTACATATTGTCCCGTGATAATGATGTTCCGTTACGCAGGACTCGTCCTGGCTCATTACGCAACCGAAAAACTTAGGATCGCGCGCACCGCAAAGAACAATGGAAAACGATCCGAATAACCAAGCCACGGGTTTGCCAGCCCAGCTAATACCAAACGAAAAGCAAACATGTCTTCGGCACCCAAGCCTCGATTCTCCGAAAGCCATAAATTCACCGTCAAATCAGCATGAGCGGCCGGCAGCACCGTATCGCGCACTCCGCTCATCGTCGTCGGCCCCTCGCAACCTCAAGCACTTATTATAGGCCGAAGGAATCGAGGCTCCTTAACTCCGGGGCAGGGCCAAGCTCTTTATAATCGCGCTTTATAAAGGTATACGAGGGTACAAATCGCAGTCCGCGTGCGCTCTTTTTAATGCCCAAGTTAGCGTGAGAGAGGCCCATTGACGTGTCGGCAATGTTTGTACACTCGGAGGATCTGTTTAATCGTTTGCGCAGATGCTGCGGATTGGCCACCGGGCCCACGATGGACCCCGCGTGGCTAAACTTAAAATCCGCCCTGATGAAGGCGTCATTATGCATGTCCGCACGGCTGGATTATACGAATGGAATTGCGCCTACGAATGGAAGGAGAACCTTGCGACAACACAGTCGTTCCTTGTTGCGTACATGAGCGTGTCCGTCAGGGTCCTCGGGTCCTCGGGTCCTCGGATCCTCGGGTCCTTGGGCTTTTACGTTTCGAGGGAGGAGACGCCGAGTGCCCGAATAATGGCGATAGCTAGGCATCGAAGGTGGCCGCGCCACCAATCAAATCAGCAAAGATTTGCGTAATGATCGCGCGACGGCCAAGTATTGGCGATTGACTTGTCAGATGGTACAGAGGATATTTTATGCTCATCGCTTCTGCCCCTCCCACTCTTCTGCTCGTCCCACTCGTACATCGTAACGCCTCGCGATTACCTTCGAGAGACCCCGAATTAACACTCTCGGTAGAAGCAAGCACAACAAAACAAAAGATAATAATAGAGAATTGAAAATGTAAGGTCGATAGATGGGCCCAGTGGACGTGAATAATCGAACGTAAATGAGCTCAAAGTAGTGCCACGAACATTTAACAACAGGCATTCCCTTCTCTACCTCTTTCTGTCTCATTCACATCGCATTATTCGCTCAATCATTTCGTCGCATTGAATTGCCAGCCGAGAGTAAACTACGGGCTCGTCGAGATCCTTTCGCGCGGACCTTCTTTCCCGCCACCGCCTGGATCGCTATTCAGATGTATTCAAATGCCGTCGTCGGGGATCTCAATAAAAATATTTGCTATGAAAACAGCTGGGCCGCGCGTCATTGGGCAAGCAATGCGCGGGGAGATACGATGAAGTGATACGGAGGGAGAGCCGTGGGCAATCGGGACTCGGAAAATTTAATTCTTCGACGTATTCTTATATCTGCCGGGATTCTAGACTTTTTTTTTTTTTTTTTTTTTTTTTTTTGGGTCAGCGAACTGACACTTATATCGCTCGTTACGAGTTTTGCTTACAAGCAAAGTGCATTCGGAATTTCGCGCTTTTGTGCGCTTGAAGCTCGAAAAGCTTGAAATGCATTAGGTAGTGGAAAATTATGTTCTCCACGCGATTCTTAGAGATTCGCGTGCCTTCTTGAGCATATACCGAAAATATTTTGTTGCTATTATCCACTATCGGTGAATTTCACGTCAACGTAATTCATGCACTACGATTCATTTTTAAATAAATATTTCGATAAAGGGAGGTAGATTTTGTAGCAAATAGAGCAATTTATGTGATTCTCGATTAGTTAGGTTGAACCGATTACGAACCCAAGTATGCTTACAAAATTTCAACGTTCCATTTCGTTTAATGAGTATAAAAATCGAGTCTCTTCACATGTTGTTTACAATGCACGATGTTTATGTAAATAATAGATAAAATATCGTTAATAACAAAACAAAACAAAGAAAAAAAGAAAGATAGGAAGAAAGCTATTACAGAGTAACATCACCTTTTATCACACATTAATAATTACAATAGTTATTTTTAATTTTTTTTTCTTTATAAAATGAATAAGTCTGTATTGATATATTTAGCGTATAAGTTTTATTCGCAGGTAAAAATGACTTTGATCCTCAGTTCTTCTTTCCAGTCTTGATGCAATTCTGGTTTTGACAAAGCGACATATTTTCAAGTCGTTTTCTAAATCTATGTCGTTTGTTATTATTCAACGTTGCGCTTAAATTATCTAGTTGAAATTCGTCTTTCGATAGATCGTAAAATTCTATAAATTTCTGAGAACAAACGATAATGGGTTAAGCAAATTTTATAATAAGCTTATTATTATATAATTCGTCAGTTGAATTAAAACGAGTGAAAATTACATTCAAGAATGACGAAAAAGAAATTATGTATAACTACTAAAATCATTAAACAATGCCAATAACATTATTAAAGTACTGTCTTTCTTAAAATGAAATCTTATTCCTTGCTTTCTCTCAAGCCTGCTAAAAAGGATTAAAATTATGGAAATAATATTGGCGTCGATTACCTCGTTATCGTAAAATCGGCAAAATATATTATTGACATCGTCCGCGACTCGTCGTATACAAGTATATGTATTGTTTATTGAGTCTTGGCATTTGCAGGCAAAGTCTTTCTTGCACAGCTATTGAGAAAATTAACACAAAAATCCTAGGTAATTATAATTTACATAATAAGGATTATATAATTTTTTACGCGGGGAGGAATAATTTACTCGGTTTTATTATGCTTAATCGACAAAAATTAACTTCTCTACGCTTTTTTTTTTTACATCGGATTAATATTCTCATTTTGGTATTTATTAATTATTTTAAAATCGTGACGCCAAATGATATCACAGTTTTCATCGGCCAAAAAGACCTTATTATTATTCAAGCACGCAAAATGAAAAACTGCGCAAATTTACTTTCCAATTCGCCGTCACTAAGTAGTGAAATAAGTATGAAAAATAATATGAAAAATAGTAGAAAACACTAACATTGAGATTGCGATCGCTGTCGGTTTCACAGCCAGACTGAGGAATGCCCTCTGACCTTTCGCCTTTGTACTCAATAAGGACAGTTCTATCCTTGATTGCACTTTTTAATAGAGATGTACCGTCAGAGGGCTTCTGAAGACCGGCGATGTCCATAATTGTGGCAAACAAATCGACACTGCTTACGGCCGATTGGACTTCGGAATTGGGACTAATGCCTGGGCCTCTAATGAGAAGCGGCACACGTATGTCTGTCTCATAAGGTTGTCTCTTATCATATGGCATACTGAATTGACCTGTTCAAAAATATCATACAATGGGCATATAAATTATTGTAATTTGAAGGAGTCAATTGACTCGTCCTCGGCTATTTATAAATGTTACTTTCATTGGAATTTCTCGTCTTTATTGGCTACGCGCGCTACATAAATCCGATTATGCTGACATTTTAATTCAGGCTTGGCAAGTGTCTTGGCAAATCTGACACATCGTTAAATAATTACGATCACATTGAACGTATATTATGATAAAATGTATTGTATCATTCGAAGATATTTTTGTCTGCTTTTACACGGATATTAATTAATATCAACAAATAAGAGATATATGAAAAATATCAGAAATCTAGTAAGTAATTTAATATTTAATGAACGTGATAAGTATGATTGCGAGTATTTTTAATTATTTATTATTATTTTACTAACATTAACATTATATTATTACTACTTTATATGAGCAATAAAAGGAATTATATGTAGACATTTTTATTCGAGTTGTATAAGATTGTATTGTCAAATGTTAATTTATTCTATAAGCTTTTTGTAGAAATGGATAAAAATGATTTTCTAGATAATTGTAATAAACTAATTGTATGTAGTTATATAGGAAAATATTATGTTATCGTATGATATTAAGGCCAATGTATTTACCAACGTGAAATCCATTGTCAGATGTAAAAATGATATATGTATTATCTAGCAAATCCTGAGATTTTAATTGCATATACACAGATTCCACTAATTCGTCAACGGCCAAAAGTGTCTGCCAACGTTTTCTATAAATTTCATCGATACTCTTGACAATATCGAGAGGCAGCGGTGAAAGGCCCATTCTAACAAGCCAATGCTTTCCCTAAATATTAAAAAAATAGTAATAATCATTGTGTACAATTTAATTTATGTCAAATATTTTCAATATAATTTGATTATATTATTATCACTGATTATGTCAAATAATATCATTGATGACAAACGATACTTCCAATTATGTTATAAAAAAAGTTTTCACTTCTAGTCAAATATTAAACATTTGTTTAATACTTCAGAGTAAAACGTCTCTTTCTCAACTGAGAGCCGTATAATCTTTGAATTATTTATGATGTTATATTATCATCATTAACGAATAGGGGTTTCTTTTTTTTTTTTTCTTTTTTTTTTCCAATAGTGGTCATTATTACATCTGGGAAACGAATCTTTGAAATTGACTGATGAATGATATTATAGAGTATATTAAACATACAAAATTTGCCATTGAATTTCAAAATGAATTTTGTTATTTATTCAATTTTAAATAATTGATTAAATACAATTCTAGATAGATAAAGAGTAATTTGAATTACAAATTGAATTTAAAACATAATCTTAATACTGAAATTTTAACTAAAAAAATAATAAATACTGAGAAAATTATGCAAATTTCGATATTTTCAAAGTTTATCACTTGAAACGCGATTATTTATAAGCAAAACTATATATTTTAATGCAGAGAATTAAATAATTATAAACACTTTACTAAACAAATGATAAAAATTAAAAAATAAATTCTTTATGCAAGTACATTAATGACATCTTATAAGCATTTATTTTATCGTCTTGCACCATTTTATATGATAATTTGTTTGAAAATTTATCAATTTGCATGAAAGTCAGCTTATTTCAATTTTAAAATACTTATAACCTTTCCAGGTGATATATTGAAGTTCTTCGTTCTCTTAGCTCTAACGCCTTCAAATTTATCCTTGTGTCTCGGTGCAGCGGTAAATGGCTCATGAGGTGCTGGTGGTGCAAGCATCATTAAAAACGGCTCTTTCTTATTCTGAGATTTAATAAAGTCGTTGGAAAATTTTTTCTGCAAAATTAAATGACTGAGAAGCAAATAATTTTAAATTAGACACGATGGATTTGTAATGCGTGAATCATTCGATCCAACATAGTAAAATGTATTACAGTAAAATGTATAAATACACTGCATATTACCGTAAGAAAAATTGCATAAACAGCAACAAATACATACGCATGAAATTAATTTTATTATAGAGAAGATTTTTTAATAATAATTATTATTTTCTTATTCTTATGATAGAGTAATTCGTAAAAGTACAAATTATTATAGTAATTGCTTTAGTATTCTTCTAAAAGCGATTATATTTGCATGTAAATTGTATTTACATAGGAGCAGAAAGAAATAGAAAAAATTTTATTCCATATAACAAGGTGAGACGTGCTGTTCAATCTTCAATCGAGTCTTACAATCTTTTAAATAGCCAGGCATATTAACCAAGCGTACTTTATTAATTATTAATCATTAGTTATTAATGCATAGTAAAGCGAAAGTAGAACGATCAATAAATTGTGTCGTAGTAAACTAGTAAAATAATGTAAATTAATACATTGGTTGATTATTTATCACAAATAATTATTAAATTCAATCGAATTTATTTATTTAGATAATTATAAAAATAGTTGTTAATATTTTTATTTAATTCATCGGATAAGCAAAGCTTCAATTTTTCTCAAATCCAATGTACATTAATAATGTGAATATACTTTTACCATTTGATTTAATCGACGAATTGCCGATGTCTATTCTTTCTTGTAAATATGTTTAGTTTAAAATCCTACGGTAATACGTTTAACGTTCGATTTTGCAATAAACCAAAAATTAATATATATATATATATATATAAAAAAAAAAAAAAAAAAAAAAAAAAATTATTTTTCATTATTAAAAAACCTTACGAATTAAATATGAAACTAATAGTTGTTGTACTAACAATAACGTCGGTCAAATAATTGTTCGGTTTTGATCCGTACTTTTTCTCAACGCCATTTATGGACAAAGAATAGTCGTAATATTTTGAATTGCCAACTAATCCATACCATTTGTCCCATCCAGGTGGAACATAAGCTACTCCTCCAGCGTTTTTGTGCCCATACTACGAAAAAAAAAAAAAAACATCACATTAGTCTCTCAAATTGATACGAAAATTTTGTCAGAAAAAATTGATTATCTAGCACTAAATTTATTAGCTTTTATCGACTAAAATGTTTGAATGAAAAACAGTAACTTTCTGATTAAATCATAAAATTTAATTTCTTATAATATTATTAATTGAAGTGAATTTAATATATTATGCGCGTAAATTATTCTTATTATAAATTATAACAACATTATTCAATGATTATTCAATGATATGACAAAATATGTTTAAAATCATTATGTACGCAAAATCTATCTTAATATAACAATAGTAAACTTGTATCACCTTGTTTAAGTATTTTCCAGCGTAAAATGTTTTATAATTAAGTTCGTTATTTAAGATAGCGGCGAAAGTTGTATTGCCATGTGTTTGTTGCCATTTCGGACTGTTACAACCACCTTCCAAAGAATTATTTAATGCTCTATGATTATGCTGGTATTTGCCTGTTAAGATCGATGCACGATTTGGGCAACATACGGGGACTGCGGCAAACTATTTGAAGGCATTTTACTATAACAATCTTTTATCATTACAAAAATTGTATTCGTATGAGATATTTCTTGCTATTGTTATATTGGAATTAAACAATAAGCGAAGAGATAGTAGTGTATGTATATAAACTCAATACTATCGTTTTTAAAAGCATTAATGATTTTGTTAGCTGAAATATTACTGTTAAGATATTCTTTACGATGTATAACATGTGTGCACGAATGATAATGTCAAGGTTATAAATTTACATCCATTCTTAATCTCTGACTTTTTTCATACTGCCACAAGAATGCTCATTTTATCAGTGAATTTTTATACTACAAGATTTTTATTTAACGAGTGTAGTGTGCGTAAAATCGTATTTTTCGTTTATATTTATATATATATAAAATCGTTTTTTTTGTTTATATATATATATATATATATATATATATATATATATATATATATATATATATATATATATATTATAGTAAAATTAAAAATAAAATACATATTAACTAAGAACAATCTGTATGCATTATAAGAATTGAAAATTTTACATACATTTAAATTTTATTTTTTTTTTCCATCCTATCGTAATATTAGTGAATTTTAAATATTAAGCGTATAAATAAAATCTTGCAATGACAAAACAAATGCAAATGACATATGAAAAAATGCCATATCTTATATAATATTTCTGTAAGAAAATATAGATAAAGAATGATAATGAATAAATCGTCAAGTAGTTAATGTCAAATATACATAATTGCATAGATAAAAATAATATTTGAATGAAAATAATACAATGATAAACATGTTCAATAATTCAAGTAATATGTTTACTTCAATTAATAAATGTTTATTCTTCAAACTTTTATAGATAAATTAACATAGATATTTAAAATTTTTACATTTTATTTATTTATCTTCTGTATATATTAAATATTATTAAAAACTAAGTATAGTTTGTGAACTTACGGCATTCTGAAAAACAACTCCTTCGGATCTGATTAATTTTGTTGTTGATTTCAATGGTGTCTAAGATATCAATAAAAAAAAAAAAAAAAAAAAAAAAAAAAAAAATTGCATATAATGCAAAAATAATAATAATAATAATAATAATAATAAACAACAATAATAATTTATATTAATCATTAAAACGAAAAGTTTTGAAAAATTAATTAACAAGTATTTTCTAATTTCTATGCGAATAAAAATTATAATACATTTGTAATAACGAATATTTATTTATTTTTATTTTTTTTTTTTTTTTCTAAACAAACCAAATACCTAAAGTAAAAAAAATAATTTATAACATAGAATTATAAAAGAATTCTTTTATAAGCCGTAAAATTTTGTTTATAAAACCTTACCATTCCATCGAGAATCAAATCCAAATCATCCGTAACGATTAGAATAATATTTTTGCCGGTACATGTAAGTATGACACTGATAAAAAAGAAGAAAAGCCTCGATAAAAGCAAATACATAATTATAGCATAAAATTTGTCAAATCCAAAAACTTGGCTAGATAAATATTTTGATTTGCTTATCGTCACTTATATAAAAACACCAACACTAACAGAAGTTCTGCCACTTATAGGACTCTTCTCTCAATTTTTGAGTTGAGTCTTGAATCCCAAATGTAAAAATAACTCTCCCCACCCAATAATACTCGTAATGGTCTTGATAAAAGCAGGGGAAGCGTCTACGAGCTGGTAACTTAATTTATTCACTAATATAAGATAGAAGGGATATTTCAAATGTAATGGTTCTTTTTTTTTTCAACTAACTCTTAATTCAAATAAAATACGTAATGTTTTATAATAACATAATAATAAACGTATAATAAAATATAATAATAAAAGTTTTATAACTAACAAAAATAAATTATATATATATATAAATTTTAATTTCGAATTTCTTTAAATATAATGACTACTACTAATTGAATATACAATAATACGTAAATAGTACGTAAGTTCACATGCGCATTACTAACATTACAGATATTAAATTTAATATTTGGAAAATATTGAGTACCGTCCCATTTAACTTAAATTATGTTATATTGTATCCAATAATCATTCATTCGCGACCAATAATTACCAGAATAAATTTCTGAACATTATTTGTTCAACTCAGTATAACGTAACAATATTGAATCAACAAAACAAACCAATAAATAGAACATTATTCAAAGATCGAACTGAAATTTTTTTCTCGATTTGCATTTAAACTTATATTTATTTGTTATACGTAAAAATCGTTACATCCTGATCCGAGGATGCGCAAACGATTGCTACCAACGGTGTGGCCAAAAGAGAATCGAACGACTGCCGAATGTTGACAAATAGCTCTGTCGACTCGTTTTTGAAACTCGTTTTAAAAAGTAACGTCCCCATCTTTCCTGTCACTTTCACTAATCAATTGTAATATTTAAGTACTCATATATATATATATATATATATATATATATATATATATGTATGTATGTATAAAGTTTATATAGTTATTATTAAACTACGTATTTATGGAGTGTATCAGAATTTTAGAAACAAACACTATAATTAAATCAAAATATTTATTGCATTTCGTAATTGTTTATAATAAATTAGGAATGACTGCTTAAATTAAAAGTGTAATATTTATATCACATTAGTTTGGATGAAATACCATTAGAAGTCGGTACTTACGATAATTTTTACACTTATGTGTATTATTACAAGCATTGAAATCACTTTACAGGTGTGTGTGTGTGTGTGTGTATATATATATATATATACATTAAAGAACAATTAAATACATGTGGTAATTAAATAAGATCAATAATAATTTATTTAAATAGCAATGAATTATAAGTCTTTATAAATAATATGAAGATTTAATAAAAATTTATTAATACAAACACTTCGTATTAACTAAATTTAAATTGTTTATAAATATTTACCAAAAATTCTATATATAAATTTGTACATTTAATATTTTATAATAATGTATATGTTAAAATAATGAGTATAAAATCATATATATATATATCAATTATAATTAAATTTATTATCAAACCCACTTTAATTACACACATTTTATAAATTTTCTACATAGAACAATAGACTTCAATTATAATTAAGTATCCTCATTAGATATTTTCATACTAATATCCAAATATTATAAAAAAAATAAAATAAAATAAAATAAAAAATAATAATACAGTTATTATTAATGATGTTAATATATTTAAATTAAAAGTTCTGTTGGTCAAAAGAAATTTAAGGTGAAGCAAATAAACATGAAGCTGAATGTTGGTATATACAAAAAAATTTTAAACAGTTCAAAAAACTTAATAACATAACAACCCCAATTTAAATTATATTATTTACAATATTAAAAACTATGATAAATAAATTTGAAACATTAGTAAAAAGTATTATGAATTATAATTTGTTAATTAAAATAAACATAAACTGCAAAATTTTTAAAGTAATATGTAAAAAATTGTCACCTATTGACTTAAAATTGTATATGAAGATATGTGTGATTTCTGAATATTCATACTTCAGTGACAATAACAATATTCATGAATTATATCTTACTTTTAATGTTTTATTTTGTATTATAATTGTGGGCTCCAAAATTTTCTCCCAATTTGTACGTCGAAGCTCCAAAGTCAACTGAATCCCGATATTTATTAAGATATAAATTAGATAAATTTTGTTTAAATTCTTCAAAAATCTCATAAGTTTTCTTTCTCTATTCTTTTCGAAACAATAACAAAGCAACGTACGAAACGTTGTGAAAGTCAAAACAATGCAACTGTCTTAAAACCATATTCGTTATTCAGCAAAAGTATTGTAAAGTTATAACTGACTGTGTCAATGGATTTTCATAATTAACGCATTAAATGCTGTACATAATGAAATTAAACAAAAAATACAAAATTGAAAATTTCTATGTTAAATATCATCGATACGTTTACATTAGCTAGATTTATATTCGTTTACATGCAAACAATATCAAGTGAGCGTTCATTGTAGTAATAATATCATTGCTTGAAACTATACTAGCAAACAAATAAAAAATTTTGATTAATAAAAAAAAACATGAAATACGATTTTTTCAAAGACAAGACTGATAAATATTGAGAAAATAGAACGAATAGAAACATGGTTCTTCGCCTAAATATAATGATACAAGTCGCACTACACGATCAGCAATCGAATTTATTAACATTTTAAACAATAACTTTACTACTACGTTTTTCGAGGTTTGAGTTTTTTGCTACTCTTGCTATTGATATTTTTTATCTGCTCTACGATAATATCGTCCGCCCTTGAGTCAGTTGCTGCTAATAGATTCGGAACACCTTGAGAGTTTCTATTTAACGACGACGAAGGTCGTTTGTACCATTTTTCAATAGTAGTATTTAGCCAGCCGCAGAGAGCTTCGCGATGAAAGAACGCAATGGTCACAAGAATGATAAGTGGAAGAGGCACGAATGTGATTTGGTTCGCATCGCCCTGTTCGTGTTTACGCACAGCGTCAAAGCGCAAATCTACAAATTTAAAGGATGAATTGGCCTCGAAGTAAACTGGAAAAATCTTGTACTCGTGGGTTAGCTTGGAAAGAGATGATTCGAGCTGGATGAAATATTTCTTGCCATCGGCTTGAAGAGGAGGAAAATGAAGAAGAAAGCCGGCATTGTTCATTTTTCCAAAGTATTGGCTTTCAATTTTCGCAATGTGAATCGGTGAATCTGGTATATCTTCGCGACAAAGTTTTACCTACAAAATCAAATGCAAATTGAAGAAAAGAAAAAACATATTTACAATTATGTACTTTTCTAATTAAAATTACCTTTAGTGTGCGATAATTCTCTAGCTGATTGGAAATGATCCTAATGGACACATCTGTACGGGATACCGGCTGCAAAGCCATAAGTTTGATATCGTGAATATCCTGAGTGGCTTGAACGGCAATAGAACTAGGTATGGCTCTCAAATTTCGACTATTTGAATTTTGTTCGTTTAACTTTAGCCGAATGGCATATATGCACTGAAAAATTAATATATCGATATGTTCGGTAATGTGACGTATCACTATGTTACTTAAAAACTATCATATTCATTGAATATGTTACATTAATATTATCATAAAATTTTTATATCATTGCCCAATATTGATATCAATTATTATTGATTAATAAATTTAAAAAAAAAAGGAGAAAAATTCAAAAATTAAAAACAAAAATATTAAAATTGTAAAAAGTTACCGCTATCTATCCTATTGTTTAAATGGCGCACAAAATTGATATTTCGAAGAAATGTTTTTACCTTGGGCTCAAGACCGCGAATTCTCCACGTTCCATCATCCTTGGTAGTTGCTTCCTCCTGCAGATCCGCGCAATCGTTCTGACCACGTGCTTCGACGAGTAAACCAGCCTCGGGTTCTCCATTTAAGCACGTGACCACGCCATAAGCACTGAATGCAACTCGTCGGCCGATGAAAGTTACAGAAACGGTTTTACCTTCTTCGACTCGAATCATTTTCGAGGACGATTCAAAACGATATTCCTTCATTGTCGGTCGAAGATAATAGTCGCCAGGAGAAAGGGAATTAAATATTTGCGTACCTTCTTCTCCAGTCATAATATTTTTGCGATAACTATTTGGTCCGCCGCCACCTCCGGATAATGATAGCAAGACGCCCTAAAAACAAATAAAACGCACTGATTACAATTACTCTATAAATATATATATATATATGTGTGTGTGTGTGTGTGTGTGTGTGTGTGTGTGTGCGTGTGCGTGCGTGCGTGCGTGCGTGCGTGCGTGCGTGCGTGCGTGGATGTTTCAAATGTTTTTTTAAAGAAACGTAATGTTCGCTTCATTCGAGCTTTATCCATTTAGAAATGACGGAATAGCGTTCTTATTTTAAAATAGATCACTTTTTCATTGTACATACTTGTAAAGGAATAGATTCGGATGCATCGATAACTTTAACATTGATTTCAGCTAATTTACGAGCAAGAAATTTATAATCCTGTAATTTATGATCACGCGTTAAAATAAAGCCCTCCTTCTCCGCTGTAATACTGCAAGTAAGAAATACTTTTAGATATTAATTTATTCTTTCGAATATTTTTAAATAATTCGACTTTTAGATTGTAATTTTTGCTTAAATGTAAAAGCTGAATAATTTCAACTATATCAATGACAATTAATAATAATCGTTATACCTGTAATCTATTCTCCCATCTAGTGGGCCAACTTTAAAAGTCCCATCTTGCTGCGTAACTAACGTATGAATGGGAACTTCTTTATCATTTCCAAAAATCTTTATCGCTACACCTTCCAATAAAGGATGTATAAAACCACTGATAATCTAAAACAAAAAATACAGTTCAAGTCCAATAATGCTTTAATGATATTGTTTAACTGTCTTATAAATTCTCAAATTTTAAGTCCTATAAAAGTAATATGTAATATTACAGTTCTACAATTGATTTATTTATTATTAATGTCAAAGTGTTAACTTAATAAACTTACTTTGCCTTGTTCCGCTCGAAAAATTGTTATATCATTTTCACAGTCATCAGGGCCAGTAATTTTAAGGGAGGACGGATCAAATAATAAGACTTCAGAGGATGGAGAAATCACATACTTTTCACCACTAATGGCATTAAACGAGAAAATATATTTATAAAGCTGACCTTCTCGAATCGGTTTCAGATCCGAAAGCCTAAAAAGAGACACAAATTATACATGAAATCGTTCGCGCAATGTTCACAGTTAAATTAAAAATTTCAGCAAATATGACAATACTTTTTAACAAATTAGTTAATTTTGTCATACTATCATTATTGTATAACACATTTATTGAACATTACCAATGATTTATTTGATAATTGTGAAAATTAAGTTTTGCCATATTTGGATAAAATAAACTTAGCGATAATAACGCATATTCGAATTGTACAGTTTTGTCATAAAGGACAAATTAAATTATTATATTTTTAATGATTTAAAAAACTCATTATTTCACACCAATAAATTTTTCTAAATACAATGAGTTCTAGCAGATTTTAAAATAATTACACGACAGCTACAACATTTCCCTTGAATGATTATTATACTATCGATAAATGTAATTTCATTACGTTCAAAAATCTTATGTGCTTATAAATTTAAATTTGTAATGTAAGTTAAATTAAAAATTTAACTATTAATTAATAATTAACAATCTTATTTTATTGCATTTTCATTTTATCCAAAAAAAAAAAAAAAAAAAAAAAACTTAATTAATTTAAATTTAATTTTGAAATTTTTTCACTCAATTTTATTATTTAATATTACAATTGATATTTAAAAGATCCAAGAAAATGTATTGAATTATACTTAAAATACTTACACTATTGGTATTTGCGCTTCGGATTCTGCTTCAATTCTAACCGAAACACCATCAATAGCAATGGGGCTTAATATAATTCCCTTTTGTAAATGTTCGGTCGATGAAAGTATAATAGGTGTTCGTTCATTTGTATTCCAAGTGTATACAGATTTGGAATATTTATGGCATCCTTTGGGATGGAAATCATATTTACCAGATACTGGAATACAATGTCTTGTACTTCCTTTCACAAGCTGGAAGTACATTTTTTTATTGGGTTGATTAGGGACTGAATACGCTAACTTCGTATCATGAGATGAGATAAATGTGACAGAGAATCCCGTCTGCCAGAATACTGGTTCGTTTACTGGTTTCTCAGATGCAATAACTATTTGATGACTTGACTTATCCCAACAGAATATATCAGTATCCACTATAACTTCGTATTGGCCTGGTAGGACATCTTCAAAGATATATTCACCAGCTGGGAAAAGTATATTAAACCATTTTAAATAGACTTATGATAGACTGTTTAATTAAATGACGTAAACATACCCTTGGCTTTGACTGTTTTTGTCTCGACAATACCGTCGACCATTTTTAAGGTTATTTGAGTCTGAGTGCATTCGTCGATGGAATCTTTATTTGGTAGGCAGATTATGGCACCTTTTAAAGTCGCCTTAAGTTGTAAGAAATTGACATCTTTTAATGGTGCAAAAACTAAATCGATTACACGTTGAAGAGGAAAAAACCTAAAGGAATCTTTTTTATTTAAATTTATCAAATAACCTTTTAATATATAATATTTGCTACATACTGTAATCCTTTAGTTTTTTCTTCATCGTTAACAATAACGTTTAATTGGTATTTAGCAGGTGGGAGGTAAACAGTCCATTCGCCAGTATTTGAATCAATTTCTACTTCTTGTCGATTATTGGAAGACATATTTTTTATTAAAATTTTTCTATTTTCTATGTTCTCTTTGGTCGTTGAAGATACTTTCCCAAAAACTTTATAAGCTATTGGAGTTATTACAGGTAATTCAGGATTAGACGGAGAGATTTTTATCAGTTTTTCCTCAAACTGCATATCATCTGTAGAAATTATTTACTTAGAATAAATTTTAAACTAACGAGTTATTGATTCATACAACTACTAATAGACATTTCAAATGTAAATGATGTTTTTCAAATACATATTTATCTACAAAGTTATACTTTCTCTCATTAATTTCATTTCTATAACAATTTTTTTTTCAAATTATAAATTATATTTTAACAGTTTTTTATATTCATCAAAATGAAATGCTAAAAAAAATAAGCCTCTAAATGCAAGAAGAATAATTTACATGGACAAATTAAGGAAAAAATATTATGAATATTAAATACCAACAAATTCTATGAATTACTCACTTGCTTCTGCATGTAGCATGTACTGTTTGGCTTTCACATTGTCAGTTTTATATGCTCCATTATTATCCGTAATTGCAATTTGTTTATTAGATAAATATACTTTTGCTCCAGCTAAAGGAATTAGCGGGTTAATCGATGCCATAACTTTGCCACTGATCGTAAACCCGGTCACTTTGAACTCTTGGGACAAAATTAAACTGTCTTGATTAACGGTAAACGGAAGCTCTGACGGTTTCACATCGAATTTCGTCCTTGATCCAGCATAGTAAGGTATCAATATATAATCGCCAGGTGAAAGTGCAGGAAACAAGAATCTGCCTGTTTCATCGGATGTAACGTGACACAATGGTTTCTTTTTCGAATCAAAGCCTTCTACTGAACTTGTAGCACAATTTTTCCCTCGTCCATTCTGCAATGAAATTATATAATATAATATAAAATAGTAGTAACTTGTAATTAATAAGAAAAATTATAATATTTTATTAAAAATATATTCGAGCAACTTTAATAGCCTGAAAATATTTAGGCAGTATATATGACTTTGATAACTTACCGATGCTTTATTGTAAATTTCATACGATTAAAAATTATATTAAAAAAAGAAGAAGAAAAAAAAATATCAAAAAAAAAAAAAGGAAGAAATTAAAATTGCTACATAATAAATAACATTCGACTTTTTATTACTAGCACATATTAAATTATAATTAAAAGATTATTTCAAATATTTTGTTCGGTTTGATTCTTGCAAATATATTGTTAAACCATACAAATTAATCTATATGTAATTAAATTTACATAAGATATAAAAATAATTTGCCACTAGCACAAATCTTACATTTATTTGGAAACTCAATTATATTAAAATACTATATTACGTTATTTTAATGCATGGAATTACTTACTCCAAATAGAAGAAATGATACTCTGCCAACTGGTTCTCCGTCTATAGTCGTCACACGTCCACTAACATCAAAGCCAAATACACTCAATTCTCCATCTTTTAATTCTGTATTGCCTTCTCTTACAGTAACGGTTGTGGAATGTTTGTCCATAAGCCATCTGATAAATACAGCATGTAATTAATAAATTTTCCTTCCATTAATATTATTTTACTATTTTCTTACAATGAAAATATTTAAATATTATTTCTACTGTTTTATATATAAAATGCATATATATTCAAATGAGGTATTTACTTTTATACTTGTTGAAGCGAACATTTAAGATGATAAGTTATAATTTTACATATTTATTATTTTACATATTTGTTACATATGAAAAGTTACATCTTACGTTGGATGACTAGCAACGAGTACATATTTCCCAGGCTGAACAGGAGTAAATGAAAATGTGCCACCTTCTAATGTAACAGTTGATGCAAGAAGCGTTTTATTACTTTTATCATATAACAAAATGGATATTCCTTTAGGATATTGTATCGTCTTTGATGACGCGGCAGTAATAACTTTGCCAGTAATACCAAATCCTTTGAAGATAAAGTTAATATCCTTCCCTTGACTACAAAGATCTGAATTAGAGCCATCGATATTAAGTATAACTTTGGTTGGTTCAAAACTCCAACCTCTTGGTGGTTCAAGTTTTAAAAGATATTCTCCTTTATCGTATACAGGCAAAAAATAATAACCCGTATTAGGAGCACATTCGGTTTGATCTTTCAAACTGCCACTCTTCGTATATCTAGACAAAAATTTGTTTACAAAAAAATTATGTTTGTACAGGCTTATAACGTTTATACATAAAAATACAAATAACAAAAATAAGTTACAAAAATGTTTAAATTACCCTATTATTATTTAGTACTATTTCATTATTTGAATTAATTATGATTTATTGTAATAAAGCTTATGATATTTTAAAACATTAGATATTTAGCAACAAAATGATGCATTCCTTGTCATTGATTGTTAAGAAACATTCTACTATAATTTCAATTAAAATTTTCATTCAAAACGCAAGCAATTTTGGTTATCTCTCAAACACAATAATCAACTCTAAAACTATAATAATTTCAAGCTTCCTTTAAACCTTCATTTTACGAGATACATTAAATTAAGTGCATTATATTAGCTTGACGTGTAAATAATAAAATAATCATTACATTCACAAAATTCAATGAAATCATTGTAAGCAATGGGAAAGAAATTTAGGTTAGGAATGAAAAACTTACAATTTGACAGTGATTTGACTGAAATCGATGTCGGCATGACTTTTCATAAAACCACCGCATCCAAGAATTTCATCGGTTCTACATCTTTGCACAAGTAAAAACACGATTAGCACGAGACCGAGCTTGGAAAATAAAAGACTGGTAAAAAAAGACATGCTTTAACTCCAATTTATAACAATGAATCCAACACTCATTGGCACGGGACTTCAGCCAATCTAATAACCCAACTATATAGTACATAATACCGCATTTTTGTTTTTTGGATGCTAATAGAGGAAATAATTAATGCTGGATTGCCTGAAAAAAATTATATCCCTGCATCAATACAATCAATATCACTGCTTATCATTGTTTTATACCTAAAATTTTCAATAGACTTGGTTAATTTATTCAAAGGTAGTATGTTTTGAGCTTACGATTGCAAATTGATCGTATATATTCAATTATCCATACTTATATTCACATAAATTTACAACCCTTTAGCTTTATTATTATCATTATTATTATCATTATTATCATTATGATTATTATTATTATTATTATTATTATTATTATTATTATTATGTGCATGAAAGATTCATAATATCGTAGATCTTACATATATTTTTAAAGTAATATATATATATATATTATATAAATATCAAAACGTGTGTGCGCGCGTGCGTGTGCGCATGTGATTGAGCGCGCGCTTACATGCATATGCATGCACACATGCAATTTCACCTATTTATAAAAATGTATTGTATCGTTATATGTCGATAATAAATATACAAATAGTTGACAAGTTACAAAAAAACTTATCTAAAAAAGAATCAATTGTACTACTAGAAAAAAGCAACCAAACTATAAAATGCGAATGTAGCAGTTCACATATAAAATTTTTAATGATATAATTAATTGCTAATTAGTAAATGTGTTGCCAACTATACCGTTTATAATGCTATATGTTATATTAAGAATACCTGTTATGCTATTACATTTGTATGAATAATACATCTTATTTCATCGTTCTATTTGATATTTTATGATCAAAAGGCTAATTGAAAAAATACATGATATAATTTTTTTCTAATTTATGTATTATTTTTTAAAATAACTTTTTATGTTTTTAAAGCCTCTTTTTTATACATGATTACAACTAAAATGTAGATATTGTTTTAATAAAAAATCCATATTACGTAATTCAATAATAATACAATTTAAATTCTCGAATCGTTTTATTTAATTACTTTTATAATGTTAAATAAAATACAGAATTAGTATTAGAATCTCATATGTGCAATCATCTATAAGATTTTATTTATTCTTTCTTTCTTTTTTTTTTTTTTTTTTTTTATTTTATATTATCATTATCAAAATATTCTTCAATTAATAAAATAAGCATATATTATTTATTGTTGAAGATTGGTATTTATTTATCAAATATTTGTAGCCGTAGGAATCAGAGAGATGATGACGGGAACTGTCAAGCTTGACGATCGAAGCCAATCGATCCTGATTCCTCTTGTACTCGTAATATTGTTACCAGCTTCTCCCACGACAATTCGAAAATTAATGAAAAGATGAAAAGTGGGAAAGAGAAAGGAAATGCGCATAGGCTAAGCCAACGAATTAAAAAGAGTAAGAGAGTGGAAAGACAGAATAGATCTTTCTAAGTTTGCTAAGTTTGTACTTTATTAGTTAACTTATATCTTTTCTTTCGTTTTATTAGAGGACATTTTTATATAGCATATTTAGCCTAAAATTTCAATGTAGATTTATTTATTCTCTTAAATAAGATCAAAAATAAAACAACTGTTTGTAATAATAAGTACGCACGTATGGTACGTAATATAGAAGAAATTTTGAAAAATATAAGACTTCGGCAATAAACAGATACGTTTAAATATTTTTTTTTAAACACCAATCGTATCTTTTGTAATGATATCTTGTTAATTTTTTATAGTATTTACATCGCTCTAAACGATACACATATTTTATGGATAATGATTTTGAATGGATCAATTTTTAATACAACGAATGGTTTATAAATTTCAGTTATTTTAATAAAACTTTATTTTCTTATGAAATTAACTAGTATATTCACTTAAAGTTTCGTTAATTTTACACCTTTTTTTTTTTTTTAGTTATCTACTTATAAATATATAACATAAGATGTTATAAGAAAGAAAATTGTTGATAATTTGTAGAATTACAATTTATGTAACACATTAATTTTTTAAATAACAATTCAAACAACTTTTGCATATTTATAAATTAGACATTTTTTATTACATCAATTTCAATCTACATATTTCTTTCTAATATACATTTGCAAATAAATGTAATTGTAATAATGTTCGTAATCATTTGTATACATAGTAGCGTGACCCATTTTTATGACTTCAACCACATTTTAGAAGAAAATATTATTACGAGTATTTAATGAGTTTTAAGTTCGACTTTAAAATCTACATCTTTGCACGCAATTGAAATTCCCTTGAGAATTTCCGCGTTCAATGTAAATAGGTGAATCTGCACGCGTCTGGCACAACTTTTTCCTGTATTTTCGTTATTGAATCTGACGCTTTGAATTGACTGAAAGCTTTTTTTATCAATACATTGCAATTTCTACCGAATATTGTCTTTTCGCATAGTTAAAGATTTTCTTATCACCGCTGTTTTCGTGAAACTTTGATGTGTTCTTAATTCTTTCTCACAGGGTATAGACGTTAAATAACCGATTAGCACAGCCCGCGATTAACATACACGCGCGCTCGCACACATGCACACACATACCAGGTTGTTTAAAATATTGATTACATCTAATTTCATTCAATACACTCAGTTACATACAGTTAAAATATTATAAATTATTATTCTCATGTTTCATCTCTGAACATTTGATTCACACATTTAATAATACAACATTTACTATTTTTATTTTTAATTATATTTAATTTAATAATACACCTTTTTACTATTACGTTAATTATCACATACTTTTTATTATAATTTTATTATACTTGCCGCGAGATAAAATTAATATTATTTTCGCCATTGCTACTTTTATTCAATTTCAAATTATTGGCTACATTGATTTGACTCCCTTTTTAATTATTCTTTATTAATTAACTATCAGATTTCGAATAGAAATATCAAGATGTACAGGTAATTATAATTACAGCATATAGCTACAATTGATCATTTGGTATTTCCATAAAGAAAGATTCGTAATGAAATAGATGTCGATCAAGGTCTCTCAGATAATATATTTTAAATGAGAGAAATTCGAAAGTGCAGATCAGCCTCTATATTCTTAGTACAATATCCATGAACGTCTATTCGCGATTAACTTGTATTTTTCCGTGTCAAATAGAGAAGAAGCTACTCTACGACTTGACAATGAGAATGATTAGATATTTTATTAAAAGCTAGGAAAAATGATTTTTATTAGAATTTAAAGCGCGCGCCATCTCATATTCAGATTAAGTGCAAATATGACACGCATGCCAGCATCTCTTTTGGATTAAAGATTATCTAATTGTGTGTTATATCATTTGACAATATTCGAAGTCTTATCGACATATTTGAGTTTAAAATACTTTTCTTTCATAATAAAAAATGAAACAGCTGAGTTTCTGTGAATTGTTTTCAATGCAATATTATTATTAAAATGCTGATGATTAAAACAAATTTTCAAATTAATACCAAAGATTACATCATATCTATTATATGATTAACGGTTAAGATAAATTAAAAAAATGTAAGCTATATGTTATTAATGATAGAAAACGAAGTGAATACGTTGAGATTTAAGAACATTTTGAAAAATTATTCATTCGATAGATTGACAACTATTGGGTTAGTATAACTGAAAGAATAATTCAAGACCAAAAATAATGGGTAATTTATTAATAATAAAGCCACAGATTTGACGAAAAGTAATATTATCGTGTAAACATATAAGGGGTATTGTAGTATAAGTATAATTTAGTATTTTTTATTTATTTATTTAAATTTATTTTCTAATAATATTATTTCCCTATTAATATTATTCATACTTACAATAGTAAATTATGACCATAAATTAAAAAATGAAAATTAAAAAAAAAAAAAAAAAAAATCTCAATTTACATTTGAAAAAAAAAACTGCTAAAAATAATGTTATAAATATCTCAGAGTGAAATATCAAGAACAGAGATTTTCATTTTAGACGATTTGTATGAACAATTGCGAAGCCAATAATTGTATGTAGCCAATAAATAAGCGAGTCTCTACTTTAGCCAATATTTAACAATATAATAAAATAGAATTTGGCTAATTATACACTCATTCTCGTGTATTTAGAATTTTGTCGATGAAAAAAATCTTTTACAATTTTAAAACTTATTCAAACTTAAAATAATCGCTTGAATATTCATATGTGATTATTGTGAAAAATTGCAAATAATTTATACGTAACGAATAATGTATAATGATTACATTAAATTGTATTTAATACACTCGGAATAAGTAATAAGTAATATAATTTAAGATCATTGATCGAGAATTAATTTAACACAAATTTACTTATGTTTCAAAATTATATATAAAATTTTGAAAGAACTTGGATATTTCGAGTAAAATAGAATTATCGAAATTAGTCATTTCAACGGTATATTAAAAGGGAATGGATATTTTAGTTGAATTTAATTAAATTAAATTGATTAAAATCTCCATTATGAAAAGTCTCATACCATTCAAAATCGGATAAAAGAAAATATGAGTAGAAATATCGTCTTTACCGTTTCAATAAGTATAAAAGAAAATCATAATATCATTTTTTTTTTCACATTATATAAGCGAATGATAATTTCATCTAAAGATATACTGATAGATTTGAATAGAATATGAATTATATATATATATATACTATTTTTTATAAATCATTTACTATTTTTTAGATGCAAATACTTACACAAATACATTGAACAAAGTATAACAAATTAAAAAATATTGCTGCAACTTTTATTTATTTTGTGAACATTTTTCTTACTATCCACGGTATTTCTCACATAAAATACCAAGCTATAAATAAATAATAATCTTACGCGTATGTAAATACAAATATAGTAAGTATAAGTATGTAAATAATTATCATTCGAATAACTTGTTTACGTTTAAAAAAAGACATACATGCTGCGTTATTTATAAAAGACAATAATGATATACTTATCGCTGCTAATAAAATAATTTTTCCCCGAGTATTTTGTCTCAATTGTTACAATAAATAGAGAATAAGAGAGAGAGAGAGAGAGAGAGAGAGAGAGAGAACTAGTTATAAACATTGCCATTTTTACATCAACTCATACTTATGCATCGCAAAGACAATAGACTACATCACACAGTGTGCAACAGAATGTACAATAAAAATCCCCTCGGATGACAGAGATATTATTATATGATCTTATTCATACATCTCATCCAGGCGGATAAACATGATACAAACAATAATAAAAAGAACAAAAAAAAAACACAAACACACACACACAAAAAAACAAGAATCCTAATATTAAATGGCATTGATAAACTGTAAGAAATTTTTATTTCTTAACTAAACTGATTTATTTCATTAAATTGTTTTACGATAACAAAATGCAAAGAGCTTTTTTTATAATACAAAATCTTCAAGCTAAAAAACTTTCAAATATTGTATAATGTGCACAAGTTTTTTGACATACTATGATGATTCCTTGTAAAATATGTCTAAATTGAAAAAATTTATCTGTGTGTTAAGAAATACATTACATTTCAAATCATGTAATATGATTACATCAAATAAAGGCTTTAATTATGTTTAGAAAGTAGTTTAAAAAATTTGTAAACGTATGGCACTTGCAACAAACGAGCCTTAAAATAAATGAAATAAATTTCTCAAAAATGCTCATAATTTTCTATAATTGTATTACTCGTATAAAATATATTAATAAAAACGTGAATACCTCACATTATAGTGACTCTCTGAAAAAATCTCTTTGATTATTATGTACAATATTTATGAAAATCTTGTGAACCAAAACAAAAAAAAAAAAAAAATATATATATATATATATATATATATATATATATATATATATATATATACATATCGGTGTAAGCTTGGAAAATAAACAAAAAACTTGTTTACATTAATTTTCATATAAATAAATGACTACTTAGGGAACGAACTAACATTTAAGAAGTTATAATGCCTAAGGACAGGTTGTTCTATTGCACTTAAATAAAGAAAAAAGAAAATACGAAGATTATTAATGAGGAGGGAAATAAGCAAGTGGAACTAGGTAATGTAATAAGAGAGGCTGGGAAAAATCTATGTAATCACTAGTTACAGTAAGCCCATAAGCCATAAAGAGGGAAGCGAGTAATATCGAAAAAGAAGCGACGGCGTTTCAAGTTCAAAAAAGTCAGAGCGATATAAGATTTTCGAGCGACCGCCAGCCACTCGGAATAGCCCATATAGGATTTATCGGGCGCCACAAGTGCGTACGCAATAATCGTTCACGGAGAGACGCGCACACGCGCATACATAAGCGCGCGCCAGCGCGCTCTTACTCACACGCGGACGGGTGTCCTCTCGCCCGGGGAGATACGAAATATAAAACACGTCATTTAGCGTACATGTGTCGGGCGCCTCTCGCTCTCAGCGTATTCTCGTGTATTCTTGGTAATAGCATAAGCGAGCCGATGTGTCGTCTTAGGCTAGGCGGCGCTTATAAGTATCGCCGCTATCGCGAGAAAGTCGCGCCGCCGCCGAGGACGACGACGTGAATGGCGCCTCTAGAGGCGCGCTCATATCACCCGCGACACTGAAAATTCGCGCTGCAGTTCGGCCTGGCTCACCGAGTGGACCGAGTGGAGATTAACCGTATAACCGCGGGTCCACGAGCGGTAGGATGAGGTCGCACGCCCCGCGCCTCCTGACCTTCGCCCTTTTAATCCTCGCAGGTGAGAGATAGAGAGATAGAGATAGAGAGATAGATAGATAGAGAGAGAGATAGATAGATAGAGATAGATAGATAGATAGATAAATAGAGAGAGAGAGAGAGAGAGAGAGAGAGAGAGAGCGCGTGTTCCCGGCCCCGGTCTAGCTTTACCTCCTCGCGCCGCTCGACCCGAGGACGAGGCCCGGTTCTATCCTGCTGCGCCCCGACAAACTATTTTTATATGCTCCTCTGCTTTCCCGACCAATACGCACCCTCTCTATCCTAAGAAAAGCTCCGTGCCCAAAAGAAAGATAGATAGATAGATAGATAGAGAGAGAGAGAGAGAGAGAGAGAGAGAGAGAGAGAGAGCGCGTGTTCCCGGCCCCGGTCTAGCTTTACCTCCTCGCGCCGCTCGACCCGAGGACGAGGCCCGGTTCTATCCTGCTGCGCCCCGACAAACTATTTTTATATGCTCCTCTGCTTTCCCGACCAATACGCACCCTCTCTATCCTAAGAAAAGCTCCGTGCCCAAAAGAATGTAATGCGTATTACAGGCGTAAGTTGACTTTATCGATATCGCCATTACCGCGCTTAATTTTGCCCATCCGATGCTTCTCCCCGACTTCTCATCTTTCACCATACACTACTTACACCTGCCCTCGTCGCGACTATCCTCCCCCCCCCCCCACACACACAAACCCACGCCAACGCACACGCAAGCGTATTTTAATGGCATTCCAAATCTTTCATTATTTAAGCGTTGCCGCTGCAACGACTTTGACCTCTTGAGCTTTTTCCACTTTACTTTGGCAAATTATTATACATTTATAAATTTCATGCTGTTTCTCCTTAAAAATTTATTCTGTCTATAATCGAGCGATTAAATGAATTAAAGCACGCGCTTAATTCGCTCAATTAGACGAAACTATTTGACAATTCTTAAATGTTATGCTATCAAATCTAATATTGCAGTAATTGGCTTATTTCTCATCTTATTTCAACAAATTCTCAATTCAAGACAATCTTTATGAATAATATGATATATACTTTATTTAATATTTACAGAGGGACACCGCTATGTGTTAAAGTAATTTATATCCTTTAGTCGATTCGTTTCATTCGAAAAACATAACACTTGCTAATTTTATCTAAAACTTGAATATCATTGTGAAATTAACAAACTACCCGAATATCTATTAATTTGGACAATTTAAAGGACAACGATATTTAATTGTTATTTCTTCAATTTACGAAACTTCCTAAACTTTTATTATTTCGTGCATATTTTCTTTGAATGCAAATAACATTATTATTGATAAACTATGAATAATTAATACTTAATAATTAATCAATAATTAACTTTCGTATTGATATAAAGAAAAAGCGTAATGCATACGGCAATTATTATACTTCAATACCTCCTAAAAATCCAATGAATACAAAACGCTAATCAATAACATCCTTACTTTACTATTATTTATAATTATTGACTTAATTATTGATCGTAAATTTGTATAATCAATAAAAATAAATATAATCGCTAAGTCAGATAAGCCATTTGTAAACGAATTTGGTGATTTTCAAAATTATGAACTGTGACCCATAGCTATGAAATACTTGATTAATTATTTCTAAAAATAAAACATTTTTTTAGGCAAATTAATCATCATCGATACAAAAGAGGTATCTCCACAAAATTCTTTGTTAAATGAAGTGGAAATGATGATAAACACTGCTATTAAATTAATTCACGAACCAGCAACATTCAAACTGTATACCAGGTAAAGATAAAAATAACTAAGAATGTAGTTGAGTTATATATTTCAATGTTAGACTCTTTTTTTTTTTTATTAAATAGCATATTTTTATTCATAATATCGTTGATTATCTTATATTTATATATAATTTTAAATAATTCAAACTCACCATTTATTATTCATAATGTTGTTGTTGTTGTTGTTGTTGTTGTTGTTGTTGTTGTTGTTGTTGTTGTTGTTGTTGTTGTTGTTGTTGTTGTTGTTGTTGTTGTTGTTGTTGTTGTTGTTGTTGTTGTTGTTGTTGTTGTTGTTGTTGTTGTTGTTGTTGTTGTTGTTGTTGTTGTTGTTGTTGTTGTTGTTGTTGTTGTTGTTGTTGTTGTTGTTGTTGTTGTTGTTGTTGTTGTTGTTGTTGTTGTTGTTGTTGTTGTTGTTGTTGTTGTTGTTGTTGTTGTTGTTGTTGTTGTTGTTGTTGTTGTTGTTGTTGTTGTTGTTGTTGTTGTTGTTGTTGTTGTTGTTGTTGTTGTTGTTGTTGTTGTTGTTGTTGTTGTTGTTGTTGTTGTTGTTGTTGTTGTTGTTGTTGTTGTTGTTGTTGTTGTTGTTGTTGTTGTTGTTGTTGTTGTTGTTGTTGTTGTTGTTGTTGTTGTTGTTGTTGTTGTTGTTGTTGTTGTTGTTGTTGTTGTTGTTATTATTATTATTATTATTATTATTATTATTATGAGTGAATATTTATATGATACATTAAAAGTAATAGACAACTATTTTAATTCAATATTTAATACAATAATTAATTTAATTAATTCGTTTCAAAAGCAATATCAGTATGAATAAAAAAATACATTCAAATTCACAATTAATAAATACAACAATTGTTTATTCTGTTACAACGTTTACAAATATATGATAGATTTTTAATTTACTATTCGGAATCAATTTTTCCAATCGTAATATTTTTTTTTTATTTTTTTTTTTTTATAATAAATTAGTAGAGGTTATCAACTCGTAGAATATAATTTCTTAAAAATAATAACACAATGGTCGAATAATAGTTTAAACTTTATAATTAATAATAATCTCATAACAGATCATCGATTGATCTTTCGATCATCTCAACATATTATTTTCAATTAATTAAGTATTATAGTAAAAGAATCATTTACCTCCATATTTTCTTAATTACTTACAAAAAAGTGAGGCAATTTATATTCTTCAAATAAAATTTGCGTGAATATTTTTACAATAAAATGATCATAATTATGAATTTATCGAATATATAAATCTTACTTAATTTTATATTTAAAATATTGTTGTTGATATTGTAAATAAAGCAATAACTGCCTTGTAAATGTATTTCTTGAATATTAATAAATTATTCACAAAATTTTTTTAAAATGGCTTAACAAAATGCTCTTTTATATTAAATTAAAATATATATATATTTACTATATAGCAAAATATACGATATTAGCTATTTAAATATAAATTGTTATTTGCAATAATATGTGATTGTTTGAATTACTTTATATATAAAAATGTATCCGATACTGTTGAATAATAATTACATTCATCTGATTGATTGATTGATTGATCCAATATTATTCTGAATGCATAAGCAACGTTAAATTCAATTTTTCAATGACCTAATGATGTTAGTTAATTCAATTTCATACGATCATCCAAATATATATTCATGTATTGACTATTTGAAGAATTTTTAAATAAAAAATTTGTTAAGACTTCTTTTTCTTTTTCCTTTTAAATTTTATCAAAAATTAACTCTCTATATCTTCTTTAAAAGTTAAATTTGAATATTCAATAAATTAATATTTTATGGAAATATTTGTATTTCTTTGAAGCAACTAAAATAATTTTTAATTAATCATAATTTCTTCACGGTATATGGAACAATTTCTTTAAAAATATTAGTTGTTTTAAAAGAAGTATTTCGTACGTTTCTTTAAATTCTTTATAACCTAATTCTACTTGAACCAATGCAAATATTGTGGAGTCTTACCTATATATTTAGCATGCGAATAGTTTTTATAATTAGATCAATTTAACCTATTTCTATTTATGTTGATTAATGATATTTTTAAAAAAGTAATGCAAAAATAATTGTAAAATTTAAATTCATGATTATTATAATTAAAATCTAAGTTTTATGTAAACGAAGAATATTGCAAAATTTCATATCGTTCAAGAAAAAAAATCCAATGATGCTCATTAGAATCAACAGTGTATGAAAGATTTGGAAATTTAACTTACTTATTTTTAGACAGAGTCAATATAATTAAATCGGTAATGCAAATATTAAAAAAAAATTATATCATAATTATTATTACACAATTTTCAATTTTTGTAGGATACATTTACTTTTATCTCTTTTTCAATTCTTAATTATTTTGCTGAATAAATACATTTTTCCAAAAATTTTATACTATAACTTTTGGAAAAGTAGATCCGTTTGATCAATAGCCAAATTTAAGTATCTGATGAATCATCTATTAACAATGAGCTTCGTATTTTTAATAAATGGAATTCAAATATTTTCAAACGATAGATACAATCTGAGTTGGTAGATAAGTTTTCTTCAGTTGAGCATTAAACAAATCCGGGACATTTGAAATCACAATTTTATTTTAAATTCAATTTAAATAATTATTATAAAATGATAAATATCTATTCAGCATATTGTATATTTGAACAGATATTTAGTAAATACACCATTTAAATATTATATAATAAATTAATGAATTTAAAAATAATTCAAATAAACTCAATTTAGATTATTTAGAAAATTGTGAATATATCTCTAATTTATATCTAATTATTATATTTTTAGTCAGTTTAAGTACTATTTAATATATTTGTAATTTTATTACGCGTGTAGAAAACATTTTCAAATCTATCACCATGTTTCATATTAAAAAATAATTTTCTCTATTTTAAATGAATGTTCATTGCAACGTTTTGACTCGTTATTTTTAGTTGAATCATAATCTTTATAAATATTTGTCGTACCCATTACAAAATCCAAATAATTTTAAATATATTTTTAAAATATTCGCATTTTAAATAACATTGAATTTTTAAAAAATTCTAATTTATAGATTCGTGAATTTTAAGTTCATATAAATTTACGATTTCATAATATTAAGACAAATAGATTAATAGTAAGTTTTTAGTTATACAAGTAAGCATAGAAATATACACACATAGAGACATGTATATAAAAAAATTTGAATAGCTATTGAGATTTTCGACTTCAAAATATATTTCTATATTTTAATGTATTTATAAATATTGGTTATTTTGTATCATTTTACTCCAATAGATATTGTATTAATTAATTTGACTTGTGAAAATTATAAAAAATTAAATTCTCAAATTCCTATAAACATTGTTACATTTTATTTGAACAAGTATACTTATTTAATTCATGTGCGCGCGCGTGTGTGTGTGTGTGTGTGCGCGCGCGCGCGCGAGTGTATGTGTATGTATGTATGTATTTATATGTGTGTTTAAGAAAGACTACTCTTGTTGCAAATTTAGTTTTTTTTCTAATTTATAAATAAAATAAATAGACGATGTAATATTTTAGAGATATGATTGAATTCATTATATAATTATATATATTATATATATATATTACACACACGCATACACACACACACACACACACACACACACACACCTATATATATATTTATCTTAAAATTTATTTTAAGATATTTATGATCATACTTCGATTTAAAAATATAAATATTATTAATTAGAATATTAAAGAATAAAAATATAATAAAAAATTGAACTTAAAATAGAAATTAAAGTTTTTGCAACCATGGGTATATTTTAATTGAAATAATTATATTAAATTGTCTATTACTGTAATAAAAATAGATTTCTTATGTTATTATTTAATTTCGAACTTAATTATTTATCTTAATATAAATTAACTATATGAATATTTATTGTATGAAGTGGATTTTGTAGCGTAAATAATTTTATTTTTAAGAACTGGATATAATCATATGACTGATATTTTCAATAATATCTCTATTTCAATCCACATAATCATCTGCCGTATATGTGGTATCTTTAAGATAAAAATATTTTTACGATCATTAATGATTTATACTTGAAATCTTTCAAAAGGTATTTCAACATTAAGAAGTAATATTTTATATATAATCGTAATATTATAATAATTAACAGATACTTTTAGAGATTTTTTTTTCATTGCTCTTGAAAAAAATGTGTATAATAGTAACATTAGATGACGAAATATTTTTCTAATTTAATTTTATATTATAGAAATAAATATAGATAATAGTTTAAAATGCTAATATCAGTGCTATGAAATTTTTAAATATTTCTTTCGATTAAAAAAAATTTAATTATCAAAGTTGAGAATGCTTATTTTAAAAATATATTTTTGCATTATGTCTGCATTAAAATTAAAATTACAATTGCCTATTAAAGAAGCTATTTTTAACAATTAATTCTGACATACTGTTCAGTGTATCCTTTGATAGTTTAGCATTGATAAATTGATGAGAGCTTACAGTGCTGCAAGTTGTGATAAAACCCAAACAGTACTACATATGTACGATTTTTCAGTTCCAAGATAGTCGAGTGTATCATATTACATTCCGTTCCATATTTATAGTTCATATTCTAATTAATAATTAATAATGCAAAAAGCTGCAAGCGCAATAATTGCACAGAATAAATTGTTAGTAAAAAATTGTCATACATACTGCAGTGATTTTTTATACGTTTTAAAGTTATGTAAAATTAAATGAAAGAGATTTTTCAAAAATGTGTTTTCATTATATTTCGTTTTCAATTGGATTTTTTTCTTTTTTTTTTTATATTCTTTGGAATCACTTTCTACTCTTATGAATTTCTACAAACCGACTATGTATAAAACGAATACAACAATTATTTCATAAAATGAATGCATGTGTAAATGAATAATCAATTCGTTATATCAAATTCATATCTAATGCATTGGTTATCCGTAACATCCATTAACATATATGTAACAACGTATTATCGAATAATTTAAATGATTTAAAAATAATATTTGTAATTATAAAAGATGTAATTTATAAAAGAGAAAAAAGAAAAACCATTTATATATAAATTAACTATTTTGTTATATAATTATTAGAATGTCATATATGGTACAACAATGTATTACGAAAAACTTTTAGTCATTTAGTCGGATTTCTTTCTCAAGTACTGTCGATACTGAAGCAATCTAAATTAAAAATAAATCTAATTAAATGTTCTAAATTCAAATTTCAATTTAAATCCAATGAGAGTACAGCCACGTTAATTTGACATTTTATGCCCAAGCTATTCGAATTAAGTTTCACTAGCTTTCGAGCACGCATTAAGTCTGTGTTCGGCAGTATCTTTTTGCCTGCTATTTTGATTAGAAATCAGAGCGACAGACAGTGACACTTTATTTTAAGGAACTTTGGAACTATGCATATTAATAAAGAATGATGAATTACATTATGAATAAAATATGAATAAGATTGTGCCGAACGATTTACTATCGTCGACTTTAATATCGACCACTATGCTGTCTCACCCTATTACCCTACACATCGATCAATATTCTCATTCTTTAATCCACGATAGTCGGCGCCTTCAAAAAACCAGTTAGCACTCGTAAGCGCTCGCTAATGGCGCGTCTCGAGGCGTGAATTCAAGGAGAACGATTCGCTCGTTCGCCGATCGTCGATTCTCATCTGTCGTGGCCCGTCAGGCAGTTGGCGCATGCAGGAAATGCCAGCGAGCTTCGCACTAATAAATGTATCATTTTTTTATGTGGCGCCTAAGCGATGAGCACATTGGTGCCGACGTCTACGTCGTCGTTTGTTTTTTCATTTCCTTCGCTTTTTTGCTCTTCGCGATACGCCTATTCGCGTGTGATGAATACGGCATGAATATTCTATTCTCAGCGCTGATGCTCGACTTGTGCCACCGACCAGCCGTGAATATCATCGCCGTGCCGATAAAAGCACGTGGTGGCGAGAGAAGGGGAGGATAATAGAGAGAGAGAGAGAGAGAGAGAGAGTAAAAAAAGACAGAGGGATCGATTGGAAATTAAGAGGATGGCTTCGTCAAAGTGGTATACCCTTGGTTTTGGCAATCGACCGTTGGTGCGAAGTACGCGACTGACTTATTACTTTAACTTATCATTGAATAGCATTGATTTTTTTTACCTTATCTCCTGTCTCGTTTGTAAATTTATATTTGAAGACGATTACATTGCTTATTATACGATAAAATATGAATCTTGATATTATATTTGATATTTATCTCTTGATGAAAATTGCATTTAAAATTCTTCAAATTATTAATTGTATTATTAAAATAAAATGTGATCCTCGTAATTTAAAATGATTTGATTAAATTATGCTTAATAATTTCGATGTGCAAAATATTTTTTCCTTAGTCTTTATAGTTTTAATTTTTTAAGATATTACAAAAGTATGTTATTATAATTATTATAATTGACCAGTGCTTAATTCAACAGATTGGCAGATAATTTGTACAATCATTTTTTAAGTTTATTATAAGAATACTTTATGAGTAAATCTATTAAAATATAATTGATTAAACAAAATATCATTGAATAACTATGAATGTGTGTGTGTGTGTGTGTGTTTGTGAATCATTATTTATTGTATGAAATTGACCAATTAACATTAATATATTAGAAATTATTGGAAAAAATTTTCTATAATTACTTTTAGTTCTAATTATTTAATGCCCTCATAGATAATGAATATATCATTAGTTATGATATTAAAAATTTATTAAAATTTACGTTTATATAAAATTGAATAATTTAAAATTAATAATAAATTCTTTAATTACACTGATATTGCCAATAACATTCTCTATGAAATTGTTTACAACAGAATATTTCTGTATAAATTTGTATTCTCAATATTTGTATTATATACATTCTTAAATTAGCACATGATATTAAATATTAAAGTTTTATTTGATATAATTATTATTAACATTAATATTTAATATAAAATTTAATAAATTTAATTATTTTATCTTTCTAAAACTATTTTCTTAAAAACCACGTTCTTTTCATTTCCATGTATCTTCCTTAACTAAGACGATAATATATATATATATATATATATAAGAAATATGAAATAAATTATCGTTAAATATTAATCTTAGTCATATCAAAATTATTTATATTTTCAATAAAAAAAAAAATATATGAGTAGAAAAATAACTGTGAAATATTTATATATTTTTTCATAAAAATTAATAGGAAGATGTTAAAAAAAATCATATATTTTGTAAATATTAATTATTTTAATTAATTATAAATAATGTATTTATTCTCGCGCATATAACATTGTATTATCAAATTGGTTAATTATATAAATATTATTAAAAGAAAATTAATTTTATAATTTAAAATTAAAAAATTATCTTAATTAAGCACCATTAAATAACGTCGGTCATATAGTATTAATTTTATAGTTTTAAACATGTACAGACAAATTTTTTTGGATTTTTTACAAGAAAGTCAAGATTTATGTATTTATTTACTTAATGTAATTCTTGATTTATAAATATAAATTTTCTATAAACAATTTTTGTTTTATAAATGTAAAACCTGTTTTAGCATGCCAAGTGAATATCAAGTTTTTATGTATATAATTGTACACAATTATTTTATACGGAATGTCATTTAGTAATTATTATATTAAACGTCATTATATTAAATTTAAATTCTTAATATTATAATTCAGAATAATGTATGCGTTAGCAAACGCACACGCACCAACACACATATATGTTATAATTTTTTAAAAAATACAACGCAATTGTGAACACAATTTTATTTCATTGGTGTAATATATTTAATTTTCTATACAATCACTTTCTAATTGACAAAGTAATAAATTCTCTAATTAATATTCTTAATTATTTTTTAGAGAAAATCCTTTTGGTGAAGAGCAATTATTGCTAAACAATACCGAAATTCTATATGCTTCGCATTTTAACGAAAGTCGACCAACCAAACTTATTATTCATGGCTTTAGTGATACGGGAAAAGAAGTATGGATTCGAGGACTGATCGATGGTAAGTGCAAATTTGCTAATTTAAATTAAATTAACACAGAATATGAAATATTATTAATATTAACATTATTACAAATGAAGACTACCAAATAAATGCTCTAGTTGATCTATACATTATTTGATCAAAACTAAGTGTAGACTATGGGAGAAACTTTTATCGTCGGAAAAAAAAACTGAGTGTCGACATTGTTGCACATCATCGCAATGATAACCTCAAGTGAACTTGTTTGAATTCAATTTTTCTTATAATTTTCTGGTGGAAAAATCTTTGCAAAAATTCTTACGCTATTTTCTATTTCTAAAATATGACATCATTTTTTATAATGAAAAATTTTTTAAGCTAAGTTTAAAGTTTAATGTTACGTTCGTTCTTTGGATTGCAATTAGACAAATTTTACTTACTCTTTGAAGCCACATTAAACTACTCTTTTAAGTAAAAAATTTTTTTTCATATTTCAAAATTTCATATTCGCAAAATATTTTGTAACGTTCTGTTTTACTATTCATTACTTGATAAATAATTGTCTTACAAGATTATTTTAATTTTCATAATATATTAATAAATTCAAATAATATAATTTACACAAATATTTGTTATTTTTATTTAGATTAAGAGTACTTAGATTAAATTTATAAAGATTATCCGTAAAGATTTATTATCGTTTGATCAAAATCAATTGCTGGTATATAGATTTTCAGGAATATTCTTTAATTTTTATATCAAATTATATAATTATGTACACCTACGGCAAAATTTATGTAGAAAATAGAGAAGAACAAATTTTTATAGTAACGTGCACGAGCAACAAAAAGATACTAAAAGTTATTCTTATAAAATAATTAAATCTCAATAAGAGCTAATATCTTTCTTAACAATTTTTTATTAATTAAAAATAAAATTTAATTACAACATCGTTTCTAAATGACAATTTTTCATATTGCTTATTAAAATTTATCAATTCTTTAATAATTTATAAAAAATATGATACATCTGTAATTTAACAGGTTCAAAATTTTTTAAAGTATAAATAAAGATTTTTTATAACATGAAAATAAAATTCCCGATAATGCTTATAATTTATTATCTAAGAATTTTAATTGAGAAATAGAAGCGAATCTTTTTTAACATATAGAATAAAAAATAGACATTTAATATTTTATTTATTATAAATCTATGATGAAAGTGTGACACTGTGTTTTATCATTGTTATACGACTTTATAGAAAAGTAATTTTAAATGTTAAATATTTTTCATATAAAACTATTCTGAATCTAAATATTATAATACAATTTGATAAATAATCGAAAGATTTTAATCAATGATTTCTCTGATAATGATCATAATCAATGTGTAATATTTTAATTGTGAGAATGGTGAAAAATTATTAAATCAAAGTAGAAAATAAAAAACTATAGTACATAATTACTAATGTGTATTATTAAACAATTATGATCTTATTTCAAATAAATGTAAATAATGACTTTGAATTTCAATGAGCATCAATCAATTATATTTCCTCTAGACAGATGGTAAACAGCAATTATTTAATATATTTTTAGGGATACTTTTCGTTTTATCATGTTACTTGTATTACTAATGTACTATAATTTTTTAATTTTATAAACTATCTTAAAATCAATCGCAATCTTTTATTTATTTATCACTCGTCCGTCTTAATAATAAATGGTGATTAAAAAATTCTAGATTTGTAATGTAATGGCAATGTGATATAATTTCGTGGTATAATTACAATAATTTTGCTGTCACTATTAATCAAAACAATATAAACAAGGCATTTATTAATAAGAATTTTTTGCTACATTGAAATCTCATCTATTATTTAGTTTATTATTATATTGTTGAATTTCCGAGTGGTTACAATAAATTTATAATATATAAAATACACTGTACTATTAAAACTGAAACCTCTATTTTGAATTTCACAAACATTATTAATTATATAGTGTCCAAATGCCTCGAGTTCGTACGGATTTCTTTAACCGGCGTTATTCCTTTACAGCACAATCAATATTACGTACTCGTCGGTAGAAAAAAAAAAAATAAAAAAAAAATAAAATAGAAAAATAAAAAAAAAATTAAAAAATCAAAATTAATATAAATCTTAATGTACTTCTAGCCTATTTGAAGTACCAAGATGTAAATGTGATCGTAGTTGGTTGGGGCATCCTCGCCGCGGATCCGTATCCCACGGCGGCGAACAATACGCGCCGAGTAGGCGAGTATCTTGGTGTTTTTTTGGAGTTCCTGTCGCGCGAGTCTAACCTCGAGTACAAGGACGTACATATGTGCGGGCACAGTCTCGGATCACACGTTGCTGGATTTGCCGGGGCATTCTTAGATGGGAGAATTGGTAGAATTACTGGTATGCAGCACGCTTTTCTTTGACACACATTGCAATAACTCGTAAGCTGGATCACCTTGGATTTGCTATTGCTATGGATTTCACAGCTACACTCCGCACAATGTTCATAATTATGAAAATAGTACATAATTTGTGAAAATGTTATTTTTTAAGGCTTAGATCCGGCCAGTCCACTGTTCGAAACACCCTCCGGTGTTGTGGATCCGGACTATCGTCTTGATCCAACCGACGCCCAATTCGTCGACGTTATTCACACTAGCGGAACTGCGTTTGGATTCCTCGCAGCAATCGGTCACGTTGATTTTTATCCAAACAGTGGAAAATTTCCTCAACCTGGCTGCAATTTTGCACCCACGAATAGTAAGATTGTTCATTTAGCGAATTACGCTATTATATTACGTTAAGCACAATATAATATTATAAATTATACTTTCAATGTTTTTCGATATTTCTGCATTAAATAATAAATTTTTCTAAAAGTTTTTAAATCCCAAAATCCATCATGCCTTATTTTAATTTCTTCCACTCTAATAATTGAATAATCCAATCTTTCGAGCTCTATCTATTATGATAAAGAATAAACAATATTTTCAGAAATGTATTAAAAAAATGTTTTCATTAGTATCGTAGCTTAAGTGTTTGTTTGTTTTTTTTTTTTTTTGTACAGCGTACTGCAGTCATACGCGAGCTTATCAATTAATGACGGAAAGTATCGGAAGTACATCTGGTTTCAAGTCGAAAAATTGTGAAAGCTGGGAAAAATATAAGGATGGCCAGTGCGATCACAATCCAATTGTCTTGATGGGCGAATACGCGTCGACATCGTGAGTACTCACGAGCCTGATTATCAATAATTTTTTTAATCATTATATCGAAAGTATCTGAATTTCTTTCTAATATTATTATTATACATCTTGTTGCTATAGGTTACGAGGCAAGTTCTACTTAACGACTAAATATGCACCTCCTTTTGCCATCGATTGAGACATTCATATTAATTACGTTTGTAAATCTCACTTTACAATTTTGAATGTAACGCTTTCAACTAGTCATTTCTCCGACATTGTATTTATAAATCATGTTACATTAGTTCACACTTATTATTATTTTACTTTTGGTTGTGAAAACAACGGAATTTTTCTTTTTTTTTAAAAAAAAAAAAAAAAAAAAAAAAAACATCATAGGCGCACCATTTAAAGAATAAATTTAACGACCTAGTTATACTTATTTATTCATAAAGATAATAAAATTTTGAATAATTTTTAATTATTCAATTGTTGAATAATTGAACTTCAATGTGACTTAAATTATTTTAAACTAAAATGGCAATACCTTCGAGAGATCTACACTAAGAATTATATATTTTAGAAAATATATTTTTATATATTTATTATTTATAATAAAATTAGTTGCTTAATTTATATAAGATTTTATATTATTCGATCGTTATTATTGTTCGAATTATTGTTAATCAATAAAAAGTTTCATGACCGAATTATATTTAGATTTGAGTATTGTACAAAATAAATAATCTAAACAGTCATTTGTTATTGAAGAAATGGCATTTTTATCAATTTATTTAAACTATTAAATTTGGATACAAAAAAAAAAAAAAAAAAAAAAAAAAAAAAATTCTAATAATAATAATAATAATAAGAAAACAATGTATCAAAATAGTTATTACTGTTTTACTTATAGTTGTAATTAAAAATTAATAATAATGATAATTTATAATCGCTCACATAATACAGTTCCACATTTTACACCCACAAAAAGATGAGTTAAAATTTGCTTCGAAACAATCAGTTTTAAAACATTAATCATTTATGGTAGTTTCAGGCATCTTATCTTCAAGAATTAATTTTTTTCTTCTTCGATTTTTTATCCCCAGGTGGTGGTGAATGCACTGCACCGGTTAATGCGCTCAATTTTTGTTTCAATTGCAGAAGAACTTCCACCTGTGGTTGCCACACGCTCTTTTCATTCTTAGCTTTTAGTTCTCTCACGAGATTACCCTATTAACAATAACATTTTTCTATGTAATCGAACACTTCAAAAATATATTACCATTATACGCATTAAATTTGAGGATCAACAGTTCAATACAATCACTGTTAATTAATTATTTCTTATTGAAATTTCACATTCTAGTGATAAGAAATCACGCTTTCATGTATGAATCACATTTTAATTGGAATTTTTATTGTGTGTATACTAACTTGTTTTAATACTGCTGCTTCTAGTTCGGTTATTTCCGCGGTAACGTTACCGTTTTGCTCGGGAGCAGCTGCAGTGGAAGAACTTTTACTCTTCGCAGTCGCTTGTCCCGATACATTGCTATTAACTTGGAACTCAGCCAACTTTTTCTTTAAATCTAGTAGAATTTGTACTTGCGGTTGCCAAACATCTTTACCTTGTTTGGCTTTTAAATCCCTCACCAGCTGAGCCTAAAAAATAAAAAGAATAAAATAAAAAAAATAAATAAAAAAAAAAAAAAATAAAAAAAAAACAAAAACAAAAAAACCAGAAAATGTTAATCATTATACGAGTTGATTATATAATGAAATAACGGAGTTCAAGTTGGCTATTTGTATGCCCTGATATAATTTATAATGAAATTAATATCTTAAATGTAAGTATTTTTAAATCATCCGCCATTCTCACACTATCCATAACTCTATCAATTGTGAATTATAAAGGATTATGCGATAAAACAAAAACAACGATTTTCAATTAAAAGGATCGATTAAGCGAATCATCGACGATGATCATAAGAATTGGTGATAAAACAACAGCTTTCCCATAAATAATTTTTCCAGATAATTAATTATAAGCTTGTTAAAGTAAGTTGTAAATTAGTAAGGAGACGTTATGTAAAGCGGTATTGATATTTATCTATTTACGTACTTGATTTGCCACTGCTTTTTCCAACGACGCTAAATTAGTAGAATCTTGTGAGTTTTCTACCGATACAGATTGCTTTCCACCATATTTGTGTCTTAATTCTTCGACTTGCTTCTCTTCGATTTTGGAAAATAGTGGAGAGGGTTTACCAATACTGTGTCCAGCTGGGAGCATAATTGAAAGAATTTCGGGGATATAGCCATAATTCTGTTTTGATAATCCCAATTGAACCCTTATCTCTCGGGCTGTGTTTGGCATAAACGGAGCCAGCAATGCTGAGATAAGACAGGAGATATTGCAGCATACGCCAATAACAGTTGCTCCCTTTTTCCTGTGCAACAATAATTATATATTAATCGATCGATTAGTCTACACGTGGAGATAAATTGTTGTAGATAAAGATGATTCGTTGTGACACTGACATTTTTTAAATTTTTATATCGTTGAGAGAGTTAATTACGATCGAGTTTAATAGTAATATCGAGTTTGTTTGTAAAATTTCGCAGGATAGAAAACAATATTTTGTGTACTTTAATGCTTTTTTCGGACAAAACTTACTTTTCTTCTTCCGTTCCTTTAATTTTAACCCATGGCTGCTGATATTGCATGTACTGATTTCCATGTTTTGAAATAGCTAGAACATGTTTCAATCCGTCTCGTAATTTCGCTTGTTCCAAAAAGGATATATAGTTCGTCAATTCACGTTGTACCAGTGCAAGCACATGCATATCTTCATCGGATAGCTCCATTTGTGGAATTTTGGAATTAAAATTTTTCTCCACAAACATAAGAGCTCTAAATGACATATTCAATATAACGAAAGGATAACATTAATACAATTACATCATTATTTGATTGCTACCAACCTATTTATAAAATTCCCAAGGTTATTCAATAATTCGCTGTTATTTTTTGTTGCTAGGTCTACCCAATTAAAATTTGAGTCCATACTTTCGGGCCTAATGTAAGCAAGATAAAAACGCCAAACATCGGCAGATATGCCAGTTTCTCTGGCATCCGTACCAAATACACCGATTCCTCTGGATTTTGAAAATTTCGTATCCTCGTAATTCAAATATTCTAAATACAAATAATTATTCCAGATAAGCAACAATATAGTGATGTGAATTTTATTGAATCTAACGAATTTTTCATTACACGTTAAAAGTTAAAAATTACGCGAATTAAGAGTAATTTTATATGAAGACTGTGATGAGGAATAGGAGTTAAATTTTTAATTTGCACATTTTGTTATTACATTATTGCACAAAGGTTACTTTCAAACAACTCGACTATTTATTGATATTCTGATTGACTGCTAATGAATAGCAAATTTATTCCTTCCATTATAAAATACTTGAAACAAATATTTACCAGTCGCCATTATATGTTTTACTAATATATGATCCTCGTTAGCAGCTAAAAGAGTTGCAGGGAACATAATAGCATGAAATGGAACATTATCCTTAGCCATAAATTGGTATAGATTAACATCAACGTTATTGGGTTTCCACCATTTTTCATACTCCTTAGTATATTTTTTTGTAATACTGAGATACCCAAGAGGGGCATCGAACCAAACGTAAAAGACCTTATCTCGATAGCCATCCAATGGTACTGGAATACCCCATTTTAAATCTCTTGTAATGCAACGAGCTTTCAAGCCGTCTCTCAACCAAGGCTTTGTAACAGTTTTGGCCACTAGTGACCAGCCGTCTTCTACCTTACTCGCCCATTGCTTTAAATTTTCTTGAATCTATCATATAATATATCACATTATCATTTTCAAGATAAACAAATACAATAATAACAAATGTATTATGAGCAATTGAACATTACCTTTGGTAAATCTAAGAAAAATTGAGTCGAAGCTTTGATTACTGGTTTGTTGCTGCATACTTTACATCTTGGATTAATTAACTCTGTAGCATTGACGAGATGACCACATCCGTCGCATTGATCGCCTCTTGCATCTTCGTATTTACATCTAGGACAAGTTCCTTCGACAAATCTGTCGGCCAAGAACCTATCACAATTTTCACAAAGGAGCTGATCGATTATATTTGTTAAAACATAACCTTTATCTTTGATTCTTAGAAACATTGCTTGAACAATTCTGAAAATAATAATTTTGACAACGCTATGTATTAATATAAACTGCCAATATATATGTATTAAAAGAAAAAAATAAACAACTGTTTCACAAGCATTTATAAATTATTTAGAACTATAATTACTATTTTATACTTCATACTAAACTTTAAGTAAATTTGGCTTAATTTTGTGTAAATTTAACAATAAATTTTTACATAGTTAATTAACTTGTATAAATAAACAAGGAAATATTAAACTCGGCGTAATTACACGTGACTATTCATGTTTTTTTTTCATCGTGTATAATGGCAATCCAATATCTTACTCAGTTTGTTCCGACGTTGTTGTACGACCAAAATAATCAAAGCCAATACTGAACCACCTGTAAATGTCATTATGAATATCGAAAAATTTATCGCATATTTGCTGAGGGGTCACTTTTTCCTCTAGTGCTTTAGCTTCGGTTGCAGTGCCATATTCATCGGTTCCACTATAATATAATACGCTTAGTGAAAATCAAAATTAAATAAATGTAATTCATATCATTCATATTGATTATAAATTATATTGACCTTATATATAGTGTATTATAATTTCTCTGTCGACAATAGCTGTAAAAAGCAATTTTTATTAACAAGTTAAACTATATTTTCTTTATAAAAATAAATGAATAACAAACCGTGCAAAAATATCTGCTGAAAGTACACAACCAATAATATTTCCTAAATGAGGTACATTATTTACGTATGGAAGAGCTGACGTCACCAAAATATTTTTTTCTCCTTTTTTAGGCAATCTATTAACATTATTAAGAAATTCTTTTATTTGTATGTTTAATGTAATAATAAGAATAAGTAGTAGTAGCGGTAGCGGTGGTTGTAGTTGCAGTAATTTAAAATATTGATATATTTATTTATTATATTTTAAATTATATGTAACAACCACTTATGCATAGAAGATAAGTATGACATACACAGGGTAAGGAATTTCCTTAACGGAAGGATAAACCACGGATGTCCAACTGTTCTTCACAAGATTAATTTCTTCATCTGTAATTGCTTTAATCTCTTTATCTTCTAAATTATTATTCTAAAATAGATGTTAAATATAATAAGCAAAATATTTTTGTTGTTTATTAAGATTATTAAATTATTTACCTTTAAAATAAAAACATGAAACTTACATTCTTTTCTGCGGATATAATCTGTGAATTTGCAACACCAGTATACGAATTGAGAGGAAACCAAGATGCCGCGTTCATAGACATAATAGCTTGAATACCTCGTTCTAAATTCATTTTTTCTAAACATTTTTTAATAATGGGTAGACTTTCGATATGTTTTAACCATCTATCGACATTAGGAAATTCTTTACGTATTACTTCTCCCATATCAGTAACAACTACCGTAGACCATAATGTTACCCAAATAGATGCATCGACTATGGTTATATTGTCCTTATCCTAATATAAAATATGCATTTTAACATAATAGAGAGAACGTGATAATTTTTCAAATAAAAAAAAAGATCAGTAATTGTTGAAATAAAATATTATACCTTAATTAAGTACTCTTTATTTTTCAAGGATGCATTTAATTCTTTTATAAGGGACCATATTCGAGGCTTGTGAGATACATCTAATTTTCCAGATCCACCATAAGAAACTATTGCTGGCTGTAATTAAATTCATAAATACTGGCGATTTATCTAACAATTTGCAAAATATTTCTTTTCATTTATCCTAAAGTTGTAAAGTAATAATGTGACTCTAATCGTCACTGATACATTGAAAATTAACGGTTGTAGGAAATAATATATTTTATCATGTAAGCAAATGTAGCGATCGAGAGGAAAATATTTATGAAAAAAAATGTAGTAAAATAAATGAAAATACAAATTATTGAATTTAACGCAAAAAAAAATATAGTATATAAGGGTTATTTGTCTTTTCTACTTAAGGCACTTATTTTCTATACAAATTCATGCAATTTAATTATGCGCTTATTGCAACAAAAATATTCAATGAAATTGTATTTACCTGCAATTGTGAAACATCCCATTCCAGCCATCTGTTTGCAACAATTACATCTTTGTTACTTATTGGTGAAATATATTGCACAGCTGCATTAACGCTAAACAATTCTTTTCTTGACGAATCTATTTTTAGCGTCGGTAGACGATTTAATGAACACTCTAACGTAACACATAAAAATAAGAATTTTAAAAATATTTACGACATAAATGAAAGAAAAAAAAAAGAGAGAGAGAAAAAGAAGAAGAAAAAAAGGATATAGTAAAAGAATAATAATAATAATAATAATAATAATAATAATAATAATAATAACAACAACAACAACGACAACGACAACGACAACAACAACAACAACAACAACAACAACAATAGAAGGAAGTAACATGTTTTTTGTAACGGTATAGGATATTATTTTTCTTAAATAAGCGAATTACTCATTATGACTGTGGAATAGAATTAAAGGAGTTTTAAGGCAAAATATTGGAGAATTGACGTAGCAGAATACAATTGTATCTGAAAGGAGGTTAGGTATCTTACGTTTTGGATCACTTGTGAATTCAATTGCAAGCTCCTTTTTACTTATTTCTGCCGCCACTATTAGCTTCAAGGCATTGGGATTATTCGGATTCGATGTCACGTTCATTTTCACTAATAAATTAATAAATACGCGTAATAAATATTAAAATATGTTCGCTTCACAACGGACACATGTGAGCGATCTAATATGCAGCGCCAAAGAAATCTCGGATGAACGTTACATTGTACTATAATATCACGTATGTCGTGTCAGGAGAATATTAGAGTAAATAGCAATCGTTCATAATAATTAATGAAGTAATTCATACTCCGACATTAAATATAATTGAGTCATTTATAGCAGACTACTTTATTAACTGAAATAAGTGTAAACGGGCGTTTACAGAAAATGACAATCTGCACTGGATTATTGATTATATTGCATAGTAGTGGTAATTTTCAACAAGTAATAACGATCCACCCATTATCTATAACGCTAGACCTAAATAATCAGTATTTTTTATTTTTAATTTTTATTTTTCATTCTATGCTTATTTATTATGTACACTGATAAGAATTGCAGATGTGAATTTCTAAGCGAAAAAGGTTTAACAATATCATTTGCTGCCAACGACTACAATGCATAATGGTGTTAAATATTCTTACTTTACGCTCGTACCATCGCATTAATACTACAAATAATAGCAAATAAATTCATAAAATAATGAACGAATAAATACGTTTTTAAATGTACATTAGATTTGTTACTTCAATCAACATAATCAACTTAATTATCCATTTTTTCATAAATCGTCAATTATAGATATTTCTATTTTAATTTGTGTCGAAGGTACGCTTTAATTTTCTTATTATATTACAGCTGCTGCTGCTGCTGCATTACGAATATCATCGCTTACTTTTACACTCTTGGCATAGTCAATAGACAAAATAATGAGATCGTAAATGCTAAATTGAGCTCGCTTAGATTTCGCGCGCCTATACCATTTATTTATTTATCGTGCGTTTGAAGAAAAGACAATTGCATCCTCCCACGAGTATAATCGATCTATAACCATAAATAAGGATGGAATAGAATATAGTCTCATAGTGTCGGGAATTTTATCCGTCACTTTAACATTTAGCCTTATCCTTACCTCGGCCCATCTTAAGCATACATCAATTGCATGAATACGAACAACGAATAATACAGCAATTAACAACGCATCTACAACCTTATGTCTTAAAATGCTCGGCTGAATGCTAATATGCCATTTGCCAGAGGCGCGCTGAGGTTTTCTCGCCACCCCGTTAAGGTTGATTATCCGTATTGCCGATGACTTGTCGGGACGCAGCGTACGAGGGGTTGCCGGGTGTGCTGGGTCGCGGGTGCACAGTGCATACAGGGAGTCGGAAGTTCGAAGTCCAAAGTCCGAAGTCCGAAGTCCAAAGTCGCGGAAGTGCGCAGAATCGATGAAATCCAGCTGGCGCTGATCTAGAGAATCTAGTCAACTGCTTGGGAATTTGGATTTCCGCAGAATTGTGCTGGTAAAAGGGAGGATTGAACGTCTCAGTTATAATTTAATGCACAGAATTAATATTAGTATCGATAATTCCTTGATTGGGCTTATTAATAGACATGGGGAAAAATAAAGCACAGCGTACGAAAAATAATGCTCGCGTAAGTCTTTTTAAAAGCGTTGTAGATGTTATTTATTGTATTAGAGGAATAACCTGAAAAAATGTTACTACCCTTTCTTTTTTCTTTCTTTCTTTCCTTTCTATATATATATATATATATATATATATATATATATATATATATATATGTGTGTGTGTGTGTGTGTACACATAAATATGTGTGTATTTACATGCATTGTATAATTGTATTTGTATTTATATATGAGTAGCCGTCGAATAGCAGCCGTAGTGCGGAACTTCTTGGAACATCTGCGCCCAGTTTCATTGGTTTTAAACCTGCTAATGATGAAGAATATACTCCTGTGTCACCAGGCTTTTCCATAGCGGTTAAAGTTGATGTGCCCCCTAATTTTCATATAGTTTTTAAGAAATTGAACAAGAAAAATGCGACGACAAAGTACAAGGTACATTTTATAAGAAGAGAAGATATTTAAGAGCATTGATAAGACATCAGTTAGTTATAGTAGTAATTTAAAATTCTACTTAGTTGCCAAGAGTTAAGAAAACTTATTTTAAACTCTATTTAAATTGCTGTAAATTTATATCAATTATCTGTATATTTCATCCAACGATTTGTCTAAATAAAATTTAATTAGTATTTTTGGTAATTGGGTACGAGTTGGGAGATTTCGAATGTTTCGATACGATATATCCTTTATATGCGATAGATCGATTTTATAATAATTTATTTATTTTCATAAATGTCTTATCCCTTATGTAAGAAAAAACTTACATTAATTTCATTATCACTATTTTAACTACCATTACCAGCATAAAATAGTAAATCATCGTTAAATTAATAAAAAATCATATATTTTTATAGGCATTACAAGAACTGACAAATTTCTGTACAAATGCAAATTTGACGGACATAGAAAACATGTTAATATTTTGGCCTCGTTTTTACTGTTTCCTTAGTATTGATGTAAATCACAGAGTGAGAGAGGCAACTCAAATAGCCCATGCAACTATTTTGAATCGAGTTGGGAAGACAATAGCCGTACATTTAAAGGAATTTGCTGGTCCTTGGTTTGTCTCGCAATATGATTCGTATCCACCTGTAGCTTCAGCAGCCACTAACAGTTTTAACGTAATATGCATACTTAATTTTTAATTATTAATGAAAAATCAAATCCTCCGATAAATTTATTAATCGCATCATCTTTATTCGTTTTTAGACTACTTTTCCTCAACAAAAATCTGTACTTGCAATTGTTCATTGTCAGCATGAAATTCTTAATTATATTTGCGATAACGTGACCGTTGTAACTCCCGAATCACTTTCTACGAATAAGTACGTTTTAATCCTTGCTCTCAAATTTCTATTTTACTTAATACAAAAAATCACATAAATTATTAATTACAGAATGATCAAATTAAATCATCATCAAAATAATTAATTTTGGCCAAAATGGCTTTATAATATTTTATTTAAGCTCCATTATATTTAAATATTGTTCAATAATGATGTTTTAACGTTTTAATTAATTTCGGTTTAATCCTTATTAAACAAAATATTATATATTTTATTAAAAACTTAAATGTTTTAAAATGTGCCCATTCGTAGCCCATCGATAGCTGGAGAATTAGAAACGCAATATCAAAGATTGGTTACGTCTAGCTTACAAGCCTATATTTTTTATTTAAAAACTGTCAAGCCTTCGGATATCGAAAAAACAATAGAGTATCACAAAAAATTAATAAGCGATCCTAGATTCTGGAAGTTTGCTAAAAATGAAATTCCTTCGATTAGAACAGTATGCTTTGGTACATTGTCAGCGTTAATTTGTCATGCTCATGGCATTATATGCGAGGTGAAAAAAAAAATTCTGACTACAATTATGAATAGTTTAGACGAAACAGATCCAGCGCTTCTTATTTCAGTTTGGGAATGCCTTCTTATAGCTATAAATAAAATAGAGGTTTGTCATTTACAAAATTAAAAAATTTTTATCGATAAATTAAATTAATTATCAACTGCTCCATCCCTTTTAATTCATATGATTTTTATGATAACAGAAATTTCTTAAGTCGCTTATCCTATTTATATATTTTTCAATAATTAAAAATAATCTTATAATCAAATTTGTTTTCCTTAGGATTGGCATAAAATTGTAAGTCTAGAAAAATTAGTATTACCTAAATTATGGCGCATATTAAAAAGTGGCGGACAAAATCGTGCAACTATTGTTTATCCACATTTATTGCCATTTCTTAGTCAATTTACGAAGCTTGAAATTAATAAGACTGCATTATTTACCAACTTCTTTGAAAATATGCGCCAAGGGTAAGTTGCCCGAATTAATAGCTGAAAACAATATAATTCATCCAATTTGATAGTTAAAAATACATAGATAATTTTATAAATTTTAGATTTTCAGCAAGAAGTGTAAAGCTCAGTCGATCCGAAACAACTACGGTAGTAACTTCATACTTCGAGTGCTTTAGGTACGCTGTTCTAATTAATAGCAATAATGAAGAAGTTTGTAAAGATTTACTCAAAGATCAGGTAATATCAAATTTTATCCCTTTATTGATAATATTTCTATTTTATCGATATTCGTGTGATTTTTCTATTCATTCTTAAACAAAGCAGTTTAGATGAAATAACAATGTAATTTTAGGTATACGATTGATTTGATTAGTTAATCATAACTTTGTAATCCATATGTTGATCGAGCAATTATATAATTGCCATATAATAACAGGGTTAATTACATATTTGGTTTGGTAGGCCTACTTTTACGATGCAATTTTAGCTCAAATGATAAAAGTTAATTGGTGCTAAATAATCTGTTAATTCTTAATGAATTCATGAATACAATTGAAAAGAAAAAAAAAATCAATGGCAACACATTAAGATTGTAAAAATATTTTCAATATATTATCATAAATTATTTTTTAATGTTTATTTTTTACTGATAAAATAATCAACAATTTTACTCACTACTCATTTTAATTCAATGAATTTACTTTTTTTTACAGCTAATGTCCATGATAGAATTATGTATCAACAAAGATCTATCGATGAGGTCGATTTTCTTTCCTAAACTGAATAGTTTAATAAGATATTGGAGTAAAAATAGCGACAATCCCGAATACTCAGCCTATGCAAAAGTGTTGAAGATTTTCTGGTTTGAACTAATGGCAATTTTCAATCGTTTCATCGATAATTCCAACGAAAATCACGATATTACGACAAACTTTATTATTGGCTCAATGTTAGAGCTATTAGAGCATCTGAATAAAGAGCCCAGCGACAACCGGCGTCATATGAAAATCACATTCTGGGATTCGCAAGCAGAATCTTCCGAACCCTCCAAGAACACTTCTGTTCAAGAGACGACGGTGGAAGCTGATAAAGATAATGACTTATTCGTGAAACAAGTCGAGCAATTCATCATAAAATTGTGTGTCAGTTACTTTAAGAGGATCACAGATAGAACCAAGATCGTTGACCTTGTAAAAATCATACAAATTTACAAAAGCAAGGAATTACTTATTGCACTGGTAAATACGAACAATGAAAATGCCAACCTATTAGATTTTTATAATCAGAATTTAAGAATATTATTGACTAGCCAAGATGTAAATATCGATGAGTTGATCAAATTCATATTTATTTTAATGTCATATGCCGAAGATTTAGAAAAAGAGGCGATCCTGCAGTCATTCGTGGAGGTAAAAGATTTTTATTTTAAAGATAAGGTTGCCATTTTTATTTAAAAGGTAAATTTTTAAGATAATTTCATTTATAATTTGATAATAATTGGATAGTATTATATATTTGAGAACATTAACAATTGGGAAATAAGAATATTGGTGCATATTTCTTTTTTTTTTTTTTTTTTTTTTTTGTCAATTTGTCATTTTTTAAATTTGTCAATTTTTAAATATTTTCAATTATTAAATATATGATATGAGTACAAAATGAACAAAGAACAAATTTTTATTAGTTACATAAACCATGTCTGCCTAAATTAAGAGTTGTTAAGATTTTTTCTTTTTGTTTTTAACTTCCTTATAAAATTATAAGTAATTTTTATTAAATAAATCTTATTATTATTTTCTTTCAAGGTCGATAATGTAAAAACATTAAAAATTGCAGTTCAATATGCATTAATGGATTGGTATAGGGAAGATGCCGTAATACGTAAATGGCACAGACAAAAAGTTATAACTAATACATTAGTGCTTACAGCTCAAGATATCTTATCTACTTTAGAATTAACAGATTTTGATCAGAAACTTTTTCTAAAAGCATTCGAACCTGCACTGGATGGAGGTAATTTAATTTATTAATAATGTTAGTTTAAGGAATAATAAATATTTTAAGCTAAATACAGGTATTCATAACAAAACTTATACATACAATTTTCAAATAAATCTCTATTTATTTATAATTAAAAGCCACGTGATGTGGATAATTATATTTATACGATTCTGTGATTAAAATTTAAATATTTGGGCAAAACTATATGATTATGTCGTGTAAAAAATGCTTCTTATTAGAACATTCATAAAGCGAATAAACAATAATTGAATAAAAAAGAAAGTAATATACGAAACGACAATTAATAATTAACAATTAATATTAATTTATTTAGCTTCAATTATATAAAAAATAAAACTTTTAAATATATTTATAAAATTTTGTATTAACTTATTAATATGATTAATATTATTTTCAGAATTAATAGTCAGAAATGAAGCTGTATGCGGAATTTTATCATTATTCTGTTTAATAGTTAATAGATTGTCGTGGAATGATGAAAACCAAACTAAACGAATTGTTAATCTTTCATTTCAATTATTAAATTTATCATGGACTCATAAAGAGATCGATAGTAGTGTAATTAAATTGTTCAAAGCATTATTCGACTTACTTATTAATGATAATATAAAACAATCTGAAGTTGATGTTAATTCATCTATAAGGAGCATAATGCAAGAAAACTGGATTAAAGGTCTTCATGAAATAAAGAGAAGAATGTCTGCCGATGTTTTCGATGAAACTGTTAAATATTTTACATCAATAATCTGGGAGAAAATGTTATTACAGTAAGTTAAGACAAAATTCCAATTTCATCATTTATCAAATATTTTATCATAAACAAACTTATAATACAAATACAAATTATTTGTTAATTGAAGCTTACTATAAACTGTATTTAAATTATTAAACGCTTAATTTATTAATAAATAATCGTTATTAAAATAATATTAGTAAATTATAAACAATTTCCTTTACTATTAACTATGTATGTTATTTTTAGAAATTATACTAGCGATTCATCAAACAGCAAGGAGCCACTAATCGATCTATCAAAAGATTTTATTGATGCACATATTAAAATGAATCAAACGAAATCGAATGAATATATTGAAAATTTTATAATGGAGTTGGAAATAAAATATTGGATGAAATGCTTATCTAGCATATCATTGGCAAATTATATGTTTCTAAATTGATGATAAAAGGATGTGTATTTAAGGAAGTATTTGATATCGATTTATGCGATATTTGTTTAAATAATATTGAAGATAATATTGAAAAATGTTTAAAGTGGGCCTTGTACAGTTCAAAGATTCTATATAAATGCTTAAATCATTTACCTGAAAATTCAGATTCAATATCTGAAATTTTTATTAATATATCTTATGTACTCGTATTAGGTGAACTTTGCGTTGAACATAATATTTTTGTAAGTAGAATATAAATTTAATTAGATATCAAATCATAATTAAATTAAAAATTTATTCTTCAAATGCAATATTTTTATTTTTTAAGACCAAACATTCTAATGAAGTTTCTATTTTATGTCAAAGTCTTAAAGGTTTCTTAAAACATTTGGGACTGAAATTATCTGATAATTTTCACGTTAAAGTTATATCTAATATAATACAGTAAGTCTTTCCTAATATTAATAAATTTTATAAATTTAATTTATAAATTACTGTAATAAACTTCTTTTAGGTTACTGCTATCATACGGTGGTATTTACCAATATCTTTTAAAATTTTATTACTCCACCTTTAAAGATAATATCAAAGAATATGATTTAGTTATTAAAGAATATTTATCTTCGATGGAAAAATCTAATTATGATCAAATTTTCTTGCAATCCATGCAGGTTTGTTTTTGAAATATTGGTTTTATTGACTATAAACATATTGTTCAATAAAAAATTTTTCATTATCATTTCATATGTAGATAGATATTTAACTAATTTATTATTTTAGATATTATGGGACTGCGAAATATATATGAATTTGAAAAATACTTTATCTTTAAATAAAAAGATTTTCTATGAAAATGATTTGTATACAATTTTCTTAGCAAGAAATCAACTTGATCAGAACGAAGAATTGTTAGAAAACATTTTTGAAAGAATAGTAAATTTACAAAAAAAAGAATCATTGACTTTACTCTTAGACTGGTAATTAATAACAACATGTTATATTGAATAATGAATGAATATTTCATTAATTTATATTGACTTAATTATTATTAATTAATATTACAATTACAGTGATATCCATGAAATGACATGGGCACAATTTACTGTACCCATCGAAGTTATGTCTTTTCTTACCAAATGCATGAATACAATTTCTGAAAAGCTTACACTAAAACAGTGGTATCTTATAGAAATTTGCATAAAATTGTGGAATCTTTCTATTAAAAAATCTATAAATTATCATGATGATTTTAAGGTGAAAATTTATATTTTTATAATAATTGTTCTATATCCAAGACGATTTCTTACTTTTACACTCCATAAGATAACCATTTTTTTTTTTAATTTTCCGTTGCAAAAACAATTGTTTAAACTGAATTAAAAAATTTTTTATTTCATTGAAATTATCTCGAGAACATATTAATATTACTAACAATCGACTATTTCGCTTTTGTGTTAAATATAACTAATCGATATCATAAAGAAAAATTAGTAATATATATTTAAACAAAAAAGGTTTAAAATTTTGTACATTTTTCATTGATTTTTTTTTATCTATAAAACATATAAAAGTAACTAACTATGATAATACTAAATAAATCGATTTAAAAAAAAAAAGTATCAATTGCATTAATAATAGTCATTGTTTTTATAATTTAAAAGTTAGTTTGAGAAAACTGTATTTATATTTTTCAAAATATATTTGCAATATACATATTTTTCCTTAATAAGTGATTGTAAAAATATAAGTTATATAGATATAATTATATAAAGTTAATTTATGACAATGGCAGGTTCTCATAAATATATTTTTATAAAATAAAATTTTACTATTAAATTATTAACAAAAATATTAACAATAAATTAAATAAACATATTAACATTAAATTAAAACACATATTTATAAGAGATTATTTCATTTGATTTATTATCGCATTTAGGTAAAATCATTTGTTATTGGTGTTAATAAGTTATACGTCTCTATTCAAAGTGTGATAAATAAAAAAACCTTACAATCATCTTTGTTAAATGAATGGGAAGATTTATTCGCCTCTAATATACAAGCTGATATTTTTGAAATATGGATGAAATTTGCAGGTAGATTATACGTGTAAAATAATCTCTTAATAAATAAACTTTAAATTTGAAATTAATTTTTATATTGGTTTTTAGACTTATATCACGACAAAAAGGATTTGCCCATTATTGCCGATGTACCATTAAAGTATTTGGGAATATCGTTAACATATTTTGATAGGCCCATAATAAATAATGATACATCACAAAATAAAGATAATCAAAATAAATTAAATGATCAGATGATGCAATTGTTATTAAAGCTGCTATATTCTCCAGTGCAAAGCTTACAAATAGGAACTTACATTGCTTTAAACAATATAATAGACACATTGGTTCAATTAGATAAAGATGATATTGAGATAAAAAATTTTAATCCACAATCCTTAAATATTTATAAATTTACACAAGTTCTTAATATAACACAAACTATTGTTAATGCTATGTTAATGGAGTTTAAGTAGGTTTTCTATCAATGTTTTTTTCTTGATAATGTTAACTTTTATAATTATATATATAATATAATTTTCCTTTTTAGACCTTGTGATTTTACAAATTGTATAATTCAACCTAACACTGATTCTTATACATACACCATTAGTTATTTATTTACATGGGTTATCGTATTAAATATGTGTGCTAAGGCAACTACAGATTTACGTTATCAATATGCAGAAATATTAAAGTACGAACTTAAAGATTTATATAATTGATAAAGATATAATTAAAAAAGAAGTAATAACATTGATTTTACAGGGAAGATTTATTCGCAAACTTGTTAACTAATATATTCCGTTTAATGCCAATAGAAATAAGTATACAAAGGAAAACTTATAATTTCAAAAAATTCTTTAGTAGCCCCCCTACTTATAATTTTATTGGTGAGCTATAATTGAAATAACTTATTTATTTAATAATATTTATACTATATCATAAATTTTTAAATAATTATTTAGAATATTAAATAAAATATAAGAAAGTATTATAAATATTAATACGTCTACAATTGCAGATAATCAAATTGAAGAGAGAATTGTACATTTGGTTTGCTATTTATATATGATGTCCCTTAAATACTTACCAGTTCTAGTAAGACAATGGTTGAGTACGATGGAAAAACGAGTACAGACTATGGTAAATGGAACTACAGAAATTTATGTTAGTCCGCTATTACTGGAAGAAGAACTTGAATACGATAAGCTTAAAAGTATCGATAACATGCAGGTATTAAACTACACATATGATTATAAAAAATTTATTAAGTTTAATGAAAAAATGTATATTGACATGTTACATTTTTTAATAAAAAATATATTAACAACTTTTCCTTTCTTTAATATTTCTCGCATCTCGGTACTAAATTTGATTAATTAATTTATAAATAGCTTGATCATCTTTGAAATACAATTTTTATTATCCAATGCATACTTCTAATTTTGCATTAAAAATAATATTTCTATTTGATTTTTAAATAAGTAATTCATAAAGTACTATTAGATGTAATTTAATATAAAAAATTGTTATTAAAATAATATGTTTTTAATTTAATTTATATATATGATGTATAAGCAGTTGATAAATAATTCATTTTTCAGATAGAAAAACATCCCTATACCCGAGAAATTATAGTATTATATTATATTGAAGATACAAAATTTGAAATTGACATAACTTTTCCAACGAATTATCCACTTTCCTCGGTAACGGTCCAACCGAAACCACATCTCAGTGGAATCCCAAACCAACGAAATTCTCACATGCAATTATCAATTTTCTTGGAACACCAGGTGTGTATTTAGTTTTAAAAATATATTCAAAATAACTATTTTATTGTTTAATGTAAATGTATACATTTTTTAGTGTTACAAAAATTTAACAATCAACAAATTATATTTACAGTTTAAATTTCGGCTATGAATATTTATGTTAAATTGATTTTATATAACTTAAATACATGCTTAAAAAAAAATATGTTAAATTGGAAATAGCAGAGAATGAATAATGAAAATTTTCTATAGTCGAAATTGAAACTTCCAAAAAGTTAATTTCATTGTTTATTTAGTCTTAAAATCCTCTTATGTATGTAAACATTTTTAATGTAACAAATCAAATTATCACAATTTTAATATAAATTAAAAATTTAAAGCGCATAAGAAAAAAATCTAAAGTAATCAATATAAATATTAGTTGAAATATACTTTCTTGAAATATACTTTGAAATATTGAAATATACTTTTGAAATATACGTTGAAGCATACTTTCAAACAAAATTTACATGAATTTAGAATGGTACAATTTGCGATGGTCTCATGTTATGGAAAAGAAATCTTGATAAAAAATTTGCGAGTATGGAAGAATGTTACATCTGTTTCAATATATTTCACACGAGTACTTATCAAATACCAAAACTTTCCTGTGGTACTTGTCGCAAAAAGTATCATCCATCTTGTTTAGTAAGTGCCCACTGATATTATTCTATTTAAAAAATTATAATGATTTACCACATTATTATTATTATTTATTTACAGTATAAATGGTTTAATAAAAGTTTCAAATCGACGTGTCCTCTATGTAGAGATATATTTCCACTTTAATGCGGATTCCCTACATTTTATTTATATTTTTAGATAAAGAAAGTATTATATGTACAAAATCCTTATTGTGAATCGTTTTTATATAATAAATTCATAATATCTAGATTATTAGCTTTAGAAAATTATTTGTTAATATAGAAATAATCTTAGATTTTAATATTATTATTATGTTGTTATGAAAATATATCAACCTTTAAACCTAATTCAACACTGTGAACTTAATTATTCTAATTTTCCATTGTTTAATTCGATTATTAAATACAAACTTCAGGTTAGTAATATAAGTGCATATATTTACAAGCATGAAATTAATGTTATGAAATAAGTAATAGATACTGTTTAATACAAATATTGATTAAATCTTGTAAATGTTAATGGATTGTTTTAAGCTCTTGGAAAGCTTAGATATTTTTGGTCATGCTGGGTTTTGTATAGGAATAGAACGATGTCAGCTTTTGCAAAATTCTCTGATCATACTGCAGCAAGAAAATCATTTTCAAAAATGTTATTATTGGGGAAGAATTAATGGGATTAATAATGATTATTATATAGCTTATGGATATAAAAAAGAATGTTTAGAAGGACAAACCTACTTTTACAGGTATAGAGATATATTGTTCGCGATTATATGATATATAATATTATGCTTTATACAGTAACAATTTCTTTATCATAGTATCGACTGCTTAAATTGGTTATTGATGCCAGAGCCAAGTAAATGTGCTATTTTATTAACTTCTCTAACTGTTTCTGATTTTCAAGGGGATCCGTCTGTAAGTGTAAATGCTTATGATGCCAATCCTCCATATCCACCGCATGAAAATCCTCAACATTTTCGTGATGTAAGTTTGAATATTCTTATTTTGTAGTGTATTCGTTGTAAAGTGCGTTTAGAATTAAGATTGAATGATTAAAAAAAAAAAAAATGTAATAATTGTAAATGATTTTTTTTTTTTTTAATATTTATTCATTTTCAAAATTGCCAATAGTATATTTAAATTTTTCCAAATTTAATTCCAATGGTCGCTAATCAATTTTTTTTTTTTTTTTTTTTTTTTTTTATAATTATTTGATATAATTAGAGTAAGCGGGAGAAATACAAATTTTAATATTTACATACTTTCATGAATCCACGAAAGGAATCGGTGAAAAAATATTTGATGGAAGAAGATCGTTTGGCTGCTACAGTTTATTTAATTAACAACGATGCTGCTGTAGTTCCCCGAGGAAGTTGGCTTAAAACTATAGACGGACAAATAATTGAAAATTCAAGTTTTTGCGGTTTAGAATCAAATGAAACGTCGCAATTGAAATCATACTTGCACGCAAGACTGCCACAAAATACTTGGAACACTAATTTACTTTCAAGACAAGATTATGATTATGCTTTGGACTTTTTGGATACTCTCGATGAAGATGTTCCTTCAGGTATAAATTTTCCTTTGTTATTGAACGGTATTGGGAATAAAATATTTATATTAAAAATTTCTAATTGTTTACGAGATAGCACTTATAAAGACATATTGGTTATGTTAATGACATTTAAATTTTCAAACATTTACTGCAGTAGCTTTAGCATAATTATATGTAAATAGAAATTTTTATAATATAATGATGAGATTAAATATTACTAAAATTAAAACTTAATAAAAATCAATAATTAAATTCAAAAAAGAAACTTTATGCATCTGAAAATTTTCGTGTTTGAGTCAATGAATTAATTAAATCACACTATACAAACATGTTTTGCTAAATTGTAATACTGAATTAATGTAATGTTTCTAATGTTATATTGAAATTTTGGGTACAATTTACGTAATAAAATATAAAATTATATTTATTTTTCTTTCAATTGGTAATATTTATTAAAACCGAAAATTGTATGATATAATTAATATAAGAATAATATATAATAATAATATAATGTAAAATATGAATTATATTTTAATAATTTTTATTTTTATAATGATATATTTTTTAATTAGATTCATCAGATGTAATGTAATAATTTGATCGTACAAATGTGCATTAACGAATGCTTTAAAATGTCGCAATGAAACAAAAATTAATCAATTCTCGTTATAATAATATTCACATTACATTTTCCATTTTAGAGTGTTGGAGTCTACAATTTAAGCAAAGTGGACGTTTAATTTTATTACATAGTATGTATTGGCCGGGTATGACGTTTTTCCATAAAGCAAATACACCCCATTACGGCTTTCTATATATTGGAAATGGAAAGAAAAATATAGATATCCCATTTATGTTATAAATAACAATATATTGAATGAATGGCAAAATTAAATCGATAACATAATATTGTACAATAAAATAAAATTATTATTGATCTATTACATTTTTAATTATTTAAAAATATCTCTCTTAAATAAAATTAAATAAAATAATAAACTTTATAAATATAAAACTACGTATAGATTATATTTTCATAATTTTTAATAGATTTATTTATTGAAGACGATCATTTGTTAGCACCACCAGTTTAGAAGTTTCTTCTATTATACCTTAACATATTTATTCGTTTCTTTTACTACAACAAAATAAACATATTGTCAAATAACAATAATAATAATCATTGGTGAAATTAAAATAAATTATCATAATTACGTAGAATTCAATAAAAACATAAATAAAATTAATTTGAAGAATTAAAAGAAAATAACCAAGAATTATATGTGTATATTTATATTAGAAGTCCAATCAATAATATGAAAGAAACAACAAATTATGTGAGCAAAAATTTTTTCTATATTCTTTGACAAACATTTTATTCTGCAATTAATATCAGTTTCCCGTATTTTTCCTTAAAATTTGAAAATTGCCGAAATTAATTACATTCTATTCCTAAATAAATAATGAATTTTTATTCAAATTCATAACATCATTCATTAGGGAACTTTCATTGTTCAACATTGTATGGTGGTAGAACGGAAATATAAGGCGTTTGACTTAATAATATATATATGGATTGAAATAAAAATATTTACATATGAAAAAAGATTTTCTTACATACAATATATATTTAAATATAATATATTTAAGGAAATTTTATTTACTTAATAGTTTTGTAATATTTTGTGTAAATGTTTATAATTAAAAGACTCTTTGTAATATTTATAAATAAATTTTTTCAATATTCAATCACTCCGAACGTTCCAAATTAATTAGTTAACTATTTATAAGTATAAGTTCAATAAAGCATTTAAATAATCTTGTACGTATGTTTAAAATAGAATAATTGATAAATAAAAATTACAGTGCAATTTTGCATCCTAAAGGCATTTATTTTGAATATCGTTTGTATATCTGATTTTAGAAATATGTATACGTCAAGGACGTTTATATATAATAATAATAATAATTATTATTATTATTATTATAATAATAATATATACTGTTAAAAAAGAAAAGATAAAAAATAAATTTTATTTAAATACATCGAGGAAATATTTTACAATAATTATTTTAATTAAAACGATTCCTACAAGATCTATTAAATAGCTTTGATGAACTTTTAGTTTTAATTGAATAAAAATTATACAATTTTAAATTATAATTTTACATTACAATTAACAATTTTATAACATTGAGAAAACATATGTGGAAAGATCAAAATGAAATTTAAGCATTCTATAAATGACTAAACATATATTCTTCATTATTCTATAATTATATTATTAATTATCTGTAATTCTTTGTAATGAATAACTTTACCAAATTGATTATTTAAAAACAATAAAAGATATATTTTTTACAACATTTAAAAATAAGTATTAACTAAAATAAACAAATATTTAATATGAAAAATATTGTTTTATTTCAGAAATAAATTAAACGTTTGATTATATGTAGTCGAAAAAAACTTTCTAACCAATAGTTGGATTTTGTGGATTTTCACAATTGTTTCAGAAAAAAAAAAAAATCAATTATATTTGCAATTCAATTTATTACATTTGTATTAAAAACAGAAAATATCGAAATTGTGAGTGATTTTGCTTTTAAAATATCAACATACTAAAATTAAATTTATAAAAATGTAAATTTACAAACTTGGTTCGTATGGTTTTCACGTGCATAATATTCTCGCTACTAAATTATTTATTTTTCTGTTGTGAAAATTAATCAAACGCATACGGTATTTTTCAATCTTTACAAAATAATAATGTAATATGATAATAAAAATAATGCCTACGGCTAGATGCTGATTTCTAAATCTCTAGTTTATAAGTTCACATTCTAATGTAAATCAGTCTTATCGATTAAAGGCTTTTTCTTTTGATAACGTCTTTTCCTTCCTTGTTTTCATTTTATTTTAATAAATACATTCTATAACCGTGGATCATTATGGATAATTATTACGTTATGGAGATGTGTAAAAGAAATAAATGAAATTTTCATTAGCCCTCTGAAATGCGGTTGAGAGAAGGGAGCAGAACACCATCGAGTAGTGGGAGACGTCATGTGCGTTGGTCGAACGATATACGTTTACATCGACAAAGTGACTATACACCCGCGAGCGAAATGATCTGCGCCGTCGATCTACGCCGTGATCGGCGCATAAGGGCAAATTGAATGACGGTGTGCAGCAACCGCGAGGATTCCTGCTCGCGCCCAGGTAGCCGATCTCCTCGCCTCAGGGTAGCCGGGAAAAGAAGGGAGACGCTGGTACGGGAGTAAGCCCTAGGAGGGAATTACGATCGATTACTTTTATTGATCGACAATTACTTGCACAAAGTTCGTTTACAAGCGAATCGTACTACATTCCTCTACGCAACTATTTTATGAATACGCGATCTGCCTACCTCATGCGCTCATCACTAAGAAAACTTATTACGTAAAGATACACTCATTACATGCTCTTATTTGCAATATGGTTATTTTCTAATAATTGACAATACTTAAAAGCCTTTTTCCTTTTGTTGCAATGTACATTTTTCAAAATGCATAAGTACTGAATCTGGCGTAGTATTAGCTTATACGTATCAATAGATATTTTATACGATACTTAATCCCTTCCAATTACACGGAATATCTTTATGATTCTCTTTTCTTTTTCCAAAAATAGTTTAGGAACGTGCATTTATTTCATTTATACTCAGAAGCATAATAAGCAACACTTTTTATAAGTTTTTACAAAAATATTTGATAAAACAGAAAATACTAAGCCAAATTAACAAGAAAACAGATTTGCATATTGCATAAATTTATAAAATATAATATAATATCATTATATATAATAATATTGTGTATAATAAATGAAAAAAATTATTAAATACATTTAAGAATTATTAGCGTACGATATTCAATAAGATTAATTATCGATACTAACTTTAATAAGCCATTAAATTCACATTAAAATAATTTACTTTTCATATACAAACTTTGAAATATAAAGCATCTTTAGCGTTAATATATATGACATGAAAAATACAGATTAGCAAACGTTTTAAATTTTTTGCCACCTAATTGCAAATATACCCAAAATACAAAATTAATTACGTAATTGAAAAATGGCTGTATTAAATTGGAATTTAAATTTTATACTTTGATTTATCCTATTACATACTTGGCTATTGTTGACATTTCATATAATATGCAACAACGAGCCACCCAATCAATGACTGCGATTGCGCAATTGTGCTTTTATTAAATTTTGCTTTACCTATGGATGATTGTGTCTTTGATAAGAGTATACATTTTTCTTGTATATTATTAGTTTATCATTACATATTATGCAAACTCGTCTAAAGATACTTTGAAAAAGATGTAAAAGTTAAAGCCTTGGCGACGAGGCGATTTTCACTACACACTTATACGTCTGCTTCATATGCGCGCGCGCGCGCGCGCGCGGGCATTTACGCATGCACTCGTCCGTGTCAATATTCCATTCACGGACATTTGGGTTCCGGTTCCTATTCAATAGAACATATCCTTCGTTGTCGCTTTTCTTCTCTCATATCTTTTGCATTTTCTCAGTTTACAATTTATCCTTGTCTGCTGCCTTTGTCATTCGTATTGTTTTATTTTTACCCCCTGTTTTGATCGTTCTTTTCTACGAAACTTGGAAATTTAATTTACTTGATTTGTTTTCTCCGGCATAATTTAAGATATTTAAGATACATTTAAGTCATATTCAAAATGCTCGTTTATTATATTTTACTTTTCATTATATCTATTATATCTTCATTGATCTGATATTTATTTACATGTAAAATGATTGATTTAAACTAGACAATTTATAAATCAATCAATCTAATCGCTCAAAGCTCTTCTTTTTTAAATCAATGCTACAGTTTAAAACGAAAGTAATTTAATAATGAAAAAAAAGAAAAAAGAAAAATAATAATAATGATAAAACGTATATATTTTAAAAAACAATATAATTTTTGGTTTAAATTCATTTTTATCGTCGAATTATCTTCGAATATAATAATAATAAAAAAAAAAAAAGGTCTCGTTATTTCCATTAAATAAGTATAATGAAAAACATAGAGCAGTTACTTCTCGTTATATATTACTCGTTATTATTTGTAAAAGCATTCATTATGTTTTAATACAACATTTTATAAACTGTAAGATAAATATTTTTAAGAACAAGATTAAACTATATATTCCAATTTTATGCATTTGTTTTATTGAAATATGGTAATTATAACTAAAAATTACTTTAATAAAAAATTATATTTTACTTATCTCGTAAGTTATAATAAAGTCTTAGTAATGGTTTCAGCTTATAAAGATTTTTTTTATGAATTCAGTAAATTGAATAACAGAATTGAGCAGTCAATCGAAATGTAAATCCTTAAAACTAGAGATGATTTTGAAAATTTTAAAATGAATCGAAACTTTTATACTTTGATGTGCAATTTTATTTAAAATGATTATGTCTCGTAACATCGATGCCATTATAATATTTAGAAAATTTTTTTCATAAAACTTTTATTTGAAATATGAATAACGTGATATCTTTTCAATAATGTAATTTTCATATTCAAATTCTTTTCTATCAATTCTGTGACACGCTTTGTATGACCACAAGACGAGCTTTTCGCAAACGTAGCTGTGGCTTACTAACATAATCATCGAGCCTTATGCAATTTTACAATTCGCTTCAATCCAAGCAAAATAATTTGCAATCTACTTCCTCCGCTGAAGTTTCTATGAAGGGATTTGCTATGAACTATTCTTCTTCTATGGTCATTTCTTTTTTTTAACTCTTTGACATATTGATACAGAAATTAAAAGGCAAACGAAAAAAGGAAAAATAATTTAT